ATTTCTTGAGTAGTTAATGACAACATTCATATTCTGTTCAAATTTGGTAATAAATTCCAACACTGTAGAGCTGCATTTTCAACTATGTTTCCAGTGTAAAGAACATTGCTATACCTTTAGCGAATTGAAGTTTGCGGTTTGGCCATTTGTCTTTGCTGATTGAGGATCAATCAACTAATTTTCGTCAATTAATATCAGCCTCTGTCTGCTGAGCGTCGGGAACTCATTTTAACATGCTCAATTGTTGTCTCACGTTCCTTGCATTTCCTATATATATTGTCAACAATCTGACTTAATTTGAAGACTTGTGGCGCCAACAGGTTAACAACCCTACTAATATGTTGGAGTCTGACTTTTTTGTCGTTGGTAAGAACTTGGTAAGTTTCACATCATTAGTCGTGGTCATGAGTTTCGCTATTCTGCCCACCCTTGTGCGTAAGTTGATTAGTTTGGCGATACAAGAGTACTCAATGCTCTTTGAGGGGAACTGGGTTTTTGCCAATCGGTTACCTCTTTGCCTTCGATACGCTTGTGTCCTGGCACCAAGTGAAGGTGGACGTTTTTCCATGCTAGTTTTTTGTTTTTTCTTTATCGACTTCTTACTAAAAAAGTTAGCTATAATATACTATTTAATATAAAATCTACGTAATATAAAATCTACGTAAATGTGAATTTCTCTATTCTGAGGGTCAGTTCCCTGTAGTAGCAGCCTAGGCCACATTTATTTAAAATATTTTGGCTCGTAAGATACAGCAGAGGTTTGATAACCTAAATGTTTTTATAGTCTCCATGTGGGCGCCGAAAGTTTCAGCTCCCATCCTCCCTTAATTTTAGGATAATTTTTAAAAATATTCAAGGTATTATCTGCAAGAAAGTCAGGTGCACCATGTAGTCTATTCGTATTCTTAATGCCAACGCTATACTGTGCACGCATGTCCTGAGATTCTCAGCTGATTTTAGGAATGCAGTCTGCGGAAGCCGGGAATGCCCATTGACTTGTTACCAGGTATGCTGGTAAAATATTCAAGATCGTATGAAGCGACGATGATGTTACATTTAAGGCTCCTCTGATGCTGAGAATCGAGGGTTTGAAAACTCGTTCAAGCCCTTCTCGATACGTAATTTTTATGCGGCTCTTCACCATACCTGCGCACCATACCTGCGCACCATAGATAAGTATTGGCCATTTAGGTATATATATGCATTTTTCACTCGCTCCTCCATATTGACTCTCAGTGACAACTTGGTATCCAATACTACGAGTATACACAAGTATTTGGAGTTTAATTGCGACGAAAACGTGGTCTCTCCCAATTTTAGTTAGACTTGAGTTTTATGTTGACTAGTACCATCTTGCAAATGAAAATAGATATGTCTTATTAGTATTGGCGCTAAGTTCTACAGAGTAAGCCCGATAGATGTCAAACTCCTGAAGATTACGATGACCAAAATGTGTTAAACAATATCATCTTGTTGACGGTGGGTTTCATCATGCATTCGATAGGATTGAGGAGGCAAATTCCATGGTTATGGGACCTTATTTTGCAAAGAATTTTATGCATGCACCTTGCCAGCTCTTCATCACCATCTTTGAATAATTCCGCCGGTAAGCAGTCAGTCACAGTCGAGTAATGGGATGGGATCAATTGAGGTTTCGGTTTCACCATCTCCGGGCGTTGCACTTTCATTGTCATTCAGCAGGCTGGTGAAGTGTTTTTTCCATACAGCTAGGGTTCCTGCATGAGTATGCTCTGTTTTTTGAAACATTCGATTGTTCGCCGCATATTTTCATAGAATTTTCGGATATTGCCCTTGTCGGCCAGCTTCTCAAGCTCTTCATACTGCTTATTTTAATCGGGAATTTCTTTACAATTATAGAGCAAAGTCTCTTGCAATTCTTACTATGAACAGAGTTGCTGTCAAATATCAGGTGTACAACTTTGCTTCCGCCGTTTTCCGATAGGTGGCTGTACCGGCTGAGGCTGGTTGAAATACATAGATGATAATGCCTTTATTATCATTATTCACACTCGAAAATGTCCGTTTATGTGCCTAATTCACGCCATTTGCGGGAAGTTTTACTTTTCTGTTACAATTCGGAAAAAATGCAGCTGAAGCGTATCGAATGCTCTCAGAAACTTACGGTGATGCTGCTCTGAGTGAAAGTACGTGTCGGTAGTGGTTTCAACGAATTTTCACGGCGCCAAGGTTATGATTTGTATTTGATGGGATCAGCTCGGTGGGATTTACTACGAGCTCTTAAAACCGGGTGAAACCCGGCCACAATATCAAGAGCGACACGACAAAGTCATCCTCCAACATGACAATGCTCGGCCTCACGTCGCAAAAGTGGTCAAAAAGTACCTGGAAACGCTGAAATGGGAAGTCTTGCTCCACCCGCCGTATTCCCCAGATGTCGCCCCTTCTGACTTCCACCTATTCCGTTCGATGGCACACGGCCTGGCTGATCAACATTTTCAATTCTTCGAAGAATCGGAAAAATGGATTGTTTCACGGATAGCGTCAAAAGAGGACTTCTTTTTTCGAGCCGGGATCCGAAAATTGCCGGAAAGATGGGAGAAAGTTGTCGCTAGCGAAGGACAATACTTTGAATAATATATCTGTAACCACTTTTTCGCAATAAAGCTTTTAATTTTGGAAAAAAAAATGGCGGAAGCAAAGTTGTACACCTAATATCAAATCAAAAACAATCATGTATATGTATGTACATGTGTATGTAGATAATGTCAAACTCCCTTAATCTTTTCATTCTATACATTCATGCAACTACACCTTCCTTCTCAAGGAAATCGTACAAATCTGCATAATCTTTAAACTTGCACTGTTATGCCAATAAGGCTCTTCCCTCTTGTAACGGCCATTCACGGTTTATTAACCTGCCTTGAGCAAAATAATATGTTTATTCATCATCGCTCTGTAATTTCAATATTTAATAATGCAGCTGATGAACAAATATTCGCCCTCTTACAATTGGTTTTGACTTGAGGAGTGTCCGGGCCATGGGTCGCCAAAAGTAAAAATCAACTCTCAACTCGTTGAGAATTTCCTCAATTATATTTCTTAAATTAATTTTACAATATATTTGCATTGAATAGTCGTGGCGACTTTTTAACACATAATAAATATTTAAAAACATTCAAAATAAGAAAGAAGTGTCTTCTGAGAGTAAGAGAAAAAAGAGAATGCATTTGTGCGAGCAAAGACTCAACAATTTTGCTGTAAAATTGCGACCACTGATCCGGACTGTCACTGATTGATGGTCACGTGGAGACAATTTTTTTTCATATACGCCATTTAGTCGGTTGTGCGGCAGGTGGCTATCACAGACTGAGTTATGAAAAAAGAATACAGAAATAATTTTTTTTTTGTTTTATAAACATTGCCATCATTAGTTCGTTAAAAAAAATCTACAACTACAAAGTTACTTGAGTCCACTTCTTATACCATTAATGCGTTCCGAGATAACACAAGTGTCTATGGGACATTAGTATACACTGACTTCAGCAAAGTTTTCGACAAAATTTGTTACTCGCTACTAAACAAGAAACTTAAATTATTGGGACTCTAAAAAAAATTTTACGATGGGTCTCTTCATACTTTTGATCACACTCGAAGAGTTGCATTAAAGTTTCTCCTGGAGTCCCATTTGAGCCCAATTCTGTTTTCACTATTTACTAGTGATATTTCTTATAAGATGCGGATACCCAAAAGCCCGTACAGACAAATACACAAGATATAACTAAAATATGGAACAGGTTCACCGTTTCACTGACTTGGGTATAACTATGGAACCTAGACTGAACTTCTCCTTTCATACGTGACAGTCACCAAAGCCAAAAGCTTTTTGCCTTTGTAAAACGCTGATCAAAGGTATTGAAGAACCCTTATGTTAATAGAACTTTGCTCATAACATTATTAAGACTTATTCTGGTATACGGCTCGATAATTTGGAACCCGAGGTATATAGTCTACTCTGCTAGGATACAATTTATTCAAAAATGATTCCTTCTTTTTGTCTTGATGAATTTGCATTGCGACCCTCAATACAAACTTCCACCTTATACTAGTTGTCTGAAACTTATTAACCTGTCCAAACTTGCTAATCGTCGAAAATTCTTGGTGTAAATAATAGCAGGTTCACTTGGTTCAATTTCTCTGTTTCCCTTATGTTTTCTGAAATCAAGTTTAATCTACCGTTTAGAATGCCCGAACATTTATATACCTTGGCTCTAAAAACCGGTAAACCGAATTTTGCATTTCACGACCCTTTGCATTATTCGTGTCGTGTCTTGATTTATACTCTCATTTTAGTATTGTATTATATATTTGTCAAATCCGACTCGCTTCTTTATGTATGTAATATATAAATTTAAATAAAAAAAGGAATTTAAATTTTCTAATTGTGGTCGCCTCTCGGCAGAGAGTGTCATGAAATAAAGGCTCCGCGTAAATAAACCTTGAGTCGTTCGGATGCGGTTTAATATTTATAAACTGTAGGTCCCTCCATTTGTTGGAAAAACATCAAGATGCGAAACCATAAATTGGAGGGGAGCTCGGCCGAAAAATCGCTTCAGCGGTTACAAAGCGGCAATTATATATATATATATTTTTGTTACCTATCAGTAAGTTATTAAATACATTTTTATATTTGAGGCTTTTTTTGTTCTGGAGACAATTTCCTGGTTTTGGGGATTCGGAACCAAAAAAAATGTTTCGTTTGTCATGCAGACTGCGCTCCTCATGTGGATGGGCGGGAGGAAGTAAACCACTACCATTATAATAAAAATTTCTCTAGTTTTCTAATACTTCAATTGGAGTTTCCGTATCCTCTATAATATGCGATATGTAAAAATAAAATCTTCCAAAAAAGTTCAAAATGAGAGCCATTTTGAGGCGTATTGCATATTTTGTGAATTGAATTTATATACGAGTATTGTTATTCAAGATTTGATATAATATGTAATATTACATATTTTCAGGTTGGCAGCGGCTCAGGAAGCGGCGCTAGCAGGGCATCAACAGGGCTCCACAAGCGGGGGGCACTCGGGTCGAAGGGGAGCCCATCGCTTAGCTGATAGAATGGGTGGCCCAAAGAAAGACGATACACCACCCGGTGGTGGTCCAACATCTTTATTTATCCTCACCGAGGATAATCCAATTAGAAAATATACACGATTCATCATTGAATGGCCGCCCTTCGAGTACGCTGTGTTATTGACAATCATTGCCAACTGTGTGGTGTTGGCTTTAGAAGAACATTTGCCTGGGAGTGATAAAACAGTATTGGCTCTGAAACTGGTAAGTGTTACTTTAGCGAGAATATGCCTATTACGTATGTACACGTACATATGCATACAAGTGGATGGGAGCGATACACAATTCCAATGGGTTTGAATTGCTATTAATTATGAATACAATTTCTCTAATATGATGTATAAATATATATATATATGTGTTTATTATTTTTAATTGCAATTTAGGAAAAAACGGAGACCTATTTTTTATGCATTTTCTGTGTAGAAGCATCGCTTAAGATCCTTGCCTTAGGGCTCGTTCTGCATAAACACTCCTACCTCAGGAATATTTGGAACATCATGGATTTTATAGTCGTGGTGACGGGGTAAGCATTTTGTTTTATTAACTAAAATTTACACAGAGGACCACTTGTTCCATATGTAACAGTTCATTGCCAGCTGGTATGGTAAATCCTTTAAAACGAATAAACTGAAAATAACTTTCTGTATATACATAAAATATCATACCAAAACAAAAAAACTTTACTTCCATTTATGTACTCGTATGTTATTCTTATTGCAATGAGCATGCGTTTTTTGTATTTATGCCACTTAACGTTTTTTTTAGTATGCTTGTGAACTATTCACTTTAAATTTCTATTATGATTTCGGACTACACATATTTATACTTAAATATATCACAGAGTTAATGCTAAAAGAAAAACTTTAAGTCTCTCAACGACTAACAACTAAAAAACACTTTAATATCTAACAAATTTATTTAAATAAAAAAATAATTACACGACTGTTAGCACATACATTGAGCTAAAGTTCAAGCAATTTCACTCAATCTCAAAAAGTTTTGGTCCGTACTCATTCTGTTTCAATGTGTGAATTTTCTAAATATAAAGATATTTGAGAATATACAAATTACTTCAACATCATAACCAAAATTTTGTTTTAAATGGAAGGTCGCTATTTCTAGTCTAAGTAAAAACTTGTGAAACACCAGCAAAAAAGGTAGACAGCGTAACTGTACATAAAATTTAAGCCATATTATTTTTGATATAACATCTTATTTTCTGTATCTTATTCAAAATATTGAAATTCACAAAAAGTACTGTGACATCTCAAGGTTTATAGAGAATACGGTTTCGGCAACCTTTGACCTCATTGAATCATTTTTGGCGCATTTACCCACGGCTGGCATTAAAATAGCCATTCTGATTAAAAATGATGGTTTGAATAGTAGATTATTTCACCAAATTTCTACAGACAATATGCATACGCTTAGAATTTTTTAAAATTTGGTTGTCCAGCGGGGTAGTTTAAGCTCTCTAGCAAGAGTCTTTTCATCGTGGAGGTTATTTTAAACATAATCCTAAACAAAATATTTTTGACTCCTGTTACCACCACCCATCGTTCTTATCTATGTTGATGAGGCGCGTAGATAAACTTTCAGAATTAATAAAATGAAGCTGTAGTCGCCTCTTGCTCTATAAAGGCAAAAGTTAAAATATCCATTTGAGCCAGATAGTTTCAAAATCGCATAAAAATTTGAGTGGAACTACCTGCTTGAATCTATAAAATATACGTTAAAGTTAATTTATTGTCAATGTTCTTTTGTGTAACAGCAAAATAGGAAGCAACCACCAATGGCGCTGTTCTATAATTAACCGTAACTTCTCAACACTTTTCACACTCCAGTAGTATTTTTAGGGCAATCGACCTTCTTCGGTTACTCGTTTTACTTCCAAAGCCTAGTCACCGATAGCTCATATTTAGAAAGACGTGATCGGAAAATCAACTTTAATTGACAAAAAAAGGCGTTTTAGTGCGGACACTTGGATTCGCTCGACTGGTTAATTCTACAATGTGTTTCACGACCCATACATCCACCATTGTGTTTCTTATCATACAAACACTTTGCATAATGATGTCACTCCCGAAAAAGAGACGCTTCCCTGTAGTCTGCAGTAGCATTAGCCGAAAGCTTATACCCGTAAAATTTTTGGCGGGAGTTTTATTTGAAATGCTTCTGCGGTATTTAAAGGCCACTGCATGGTGTCCTAAAAGTGGTTTTGAGTTGCTCTATGACTATTTAAATCAATCACATGTAGCTTTATAATTATTTTCAATTTTTGACTTAACATAATAAATTGTGAGAAGACTTCAGATTTAAAAAAATATTGTTGAAATAATTTAAAAAAGTTAAAAATATTATAAAATGACTTTATTTTATATATAAATACGTCATATATCCTCTTAATACCAGGGACTATTTAAAAAAAAAAATCGAAATATATTATTTCTAAAGATACTCTTGTGTATTTCCTTTTATTTTTATGTAAGCTTTCCTTATACATACCTACATACATTTACATATAATATATTCCGCTTGTTGTCTTCTACTTTTTCGGTTTATTTGTTTAATAATATATTTTTTGCAATTTATATGTTAATTAATTTGCAACTCCGCAAACGTTTTACCCACAAATTATCAATTTAATGAATGCAATGAAAAATGCACTTACGTATGCTGATGGCTGATGTATACCGTTTACACAATACAACAACAATTATTGCACGATAAAAAAAAAACACCTATGAATGCCATCTTGAAATGAATACCATGCATGCGTTACCACCGGTATATCTGGGTGTGTGCGTGTATGTGATCGGGCGTGGTGTGGTGGTGGGCGTTTAGTGCAATGACGATCTTTGCGGAGGCCAATATAGATGTCGATCTGCGTATGTTACGGTCCTTTCGTGTACTCCGGCCACTCAAACTCGTTTCAAGAATTCCAAGTAAGATTTCCAGCGTACGTGTACATATACCTAGTGATTCAAGGGAAAATAATAGTAGGCCAGAATAGAGCATACTTAGAAACTTATTAAAATTCATTTTAAAATGGAACATACATACCTATAACGATTTTCTAATGAAATTTTTGGTATTCAGTGTAGCGAAATACTTACATACTTAGATAGGAATATAATTATTTAAAATTAGTGTTATAATCAAGCTAGTGAGATAGTAAAACTCCAAGCAATGTGTTCAACGCGTATGTCATAATGAAGATTTTTAGGTAGTAGAAAATTCAGCAAACCTTAATGCATATAACTGGAACTACAACGAATATGTAATTATTTCAATCATGCAGAGAAGGCAATTATCAGAAAAAATATATACATATATGTATGTGAAAAAAATATATAAAATAATTAAATTAATTAAACAAAATGAAATAAAATTATATAAAATAAAACAAAGTAAAATAAGCGAAAATAAAATAAAGTAAAATAAAACAACAAATAAAAGACAATAAAGTAAATTTAAAAAAAAATAAATATAATAAAGTAAAATAATAAAGTAAGAAAACATAAAATAAAATAAAATTTTGAAATAAGATTAAAATAAAAAAAATTAAATTAAATAGTAAAATATAAAATAACATAAAATAAAATAAAATATTATCTCACTCAAAATAATATAGTAAGATACACAATTTAAATAAAACAAAATAATATAAACAAAAAAAATTAAATTGGAAATAAAATAAAATGATGTACAATAAATTTAATTAAAATAAATACCAAATGCATATATAAATATATATATATATATATATATATATATATATATAATTACAGAAAAAAATGAAAATAAATAAAATTAATTAAAATAAAATAAATAATGGTTTTATAAAATTAAATTATAAAATAAAATTAAATAACATAAAATAAAATATATAAAATAAAGTTAAAAAATTCAAATAATAAAAAATTGCTTAACATAAAAACAATAAACAAAATAAATACAAACAAATATATGTATATATAAAATATAAAATAAAGTTAAAAAATTCAAATAACAGAAAAATAGTATAAAAAAAAATAAAAAAGCAATTCAATCAAATAAAAGTTAAAAAATTCAAATAACAGAAAAATAGTATAAAAAAAAATAAAAAAGCAATTCAATCAAATAAAGTAGTATAAAAATAAAATAAAATACAAACAAATATATGTATGTATATAAAATTTAAAGTTATGTAAAACCTAATAGCGACGTAAAATCAACTATTGTAGTATAATAAATATTATATAAAAAAGCATAAGATATTGTTAATTCAAATAATAGAAAAGTAGCAAAGTAAATTAAAAAAAATAAAAAATTAAGTAAAATGAAACAAAATAAAGAAGAATATGGTAAAGTATATTAAAATATAACAAAAAATTCAAAAATAAAATAAAAAAATTTAATAAATTTTGTATTTGCTTTACTTTGAAGTATTGTAACCATTGATTGAACTAATTTCCTAAGGATGATACAATAAAATCATTTTTTGGCATTTAATTATTGGGTTTTTCCTGTGTTTAAAAATATATTGAAAAATTTAATATTTAACACTGAATTAATCCTTATGTGCATCCTGATGTTTTTTTTTTTTTCTATATATATTGAGATACATACAGTTTGTTCTAAGCTTTTATTTCATATAAGAAGTATGCTCTGTGAAGTCCTCACAATTCCCACTCAGCGACGGCCGAAATTAATAAATGAATATTCTATAATTTTGAATCAGTTCCGGAAAAATAATGAAAATGAAGCAAAGCTCGAAAAATAATCTTTTCATTTTTAACAGTAAAACGGAAAATGGTGTGCGAAAAGTGTATTTGTTTTATGTATTAATTGTTGTTATACAGGAAAGAAAAATGATAGAATAGAATAGATCACCACATCTCCTCATCAGAATTCTTCTGGTAGGGATCGAACCCAAGGGATCCAGAAAGTTATGTTTTATGATCATTAAATCCACAAAACAATTTTGCAAACTTTTATGTGGAATCGGTTTTCAAAACATGGTAATAACGTGTTCGAAAACAAAACAAAGTTGAAATGAATCACTCTACTTCCGCTCAAAAGAGAAATGCAGAAAGTGCCTGAATATTTTTGATAGAATGCCTAAATATTCTTACATGGAACACATTGCAGAGGAGTTTTTTTTAATATTTGGACAACACTCTAATCATTACGCGTTTGATAAGTTTTAGACTTTATATGTAAAAAAAAATTTATAATTAGATTTTATATGAATTTCGTAACGAACTAGGCCAGTGTGGTAATTATAATTTAATAATGTTTAGATGTAGAAAAAATGGCTAAAATTCTGGACCTAGCTAGCAATAATATAAATTTCTTTGTATTAACAACTATAAAAAAATATTGTTTGTTTACGTATAAATGTCGCTAACCTCAATACAAATGCTCGGCAGTGGGTAAGCAAACACTATTAGATATTTAGTATAGTACTAGATACAAATAGACCGGTGCATGTATATGCGTATAAGTACATGAATTACAATACATATGTACTTATATTTTATAGTTCAGCCAAGCCGGTGACTGTAGGGGCAGTTTTAGGCTGCCCAATGCACCAACAATTCGTGTGCAGAGTAGTCTGTGAATGTGGTGTGAGAGAGATAGAGAGATACCTTTCCATAAAACAAAGCTCATTGAATGTATGAATGAATATATGTACACTCAAGTATATGTATGAGTGCAATGCTACCACAATAGTTGAATAGAGTTCATGTAAATTATAAAAAAATAGTTTGGCAATATTTTAATTTATATATTGTAATTTATTGGGTTTATTGTCCTTTATTTGGTATTTAATTTACTTTATAACAGATTATTTGTATAAGTACACAACAAAAGTCTACGAAGGAGAAAATACCACACACATAACCTAAAATATTATCATCTATCTTTCTGTTTCTGCAAAACATAACAAACAGTGTTAATGAAATGCGTCATCATCACTTCACTGGCTATAATATTCCTATGCCGTTTGAGGTAATTTTCGACCACTTTCTGTCACATATTGGGTCATACCTCAGCCATAACTTGACGAATGCTGGCTTTCACGTGCTCAAAAGTTTAAGTTTATTCGCATAAACACGGTCTTTTGCGTAGCAACACTAAAAAAATCCAATGGTATCGAATGTCGGTGGTCAATTCACATCACGAAGACGAGAGATTACGAGGTCGGACAATGTCTCACATATTGTTCAAGTCATGTTCTTCAATTGCAAGCCAAAGGAGGTCGGTTATCATATGACCATAACGCTCCGAGTTGGCAGTGACAGTATCGCACTTGTCGTTTTCAAACAATCAATTAATTCAGGAAGAATCAGGAATTGAAGAGCCACGAATGCGACAATTTTGCTTGTTTATTGCCTATTTAATCGCTGATTCGCTTCAAATATTGTCTGAGATAAATTTTATATGGATGTAGGTCTAAGTCCAAGCGTAAATGCGCAATAATGTACCGTAGGAAAGTCCCAGCTCATCTAGAAATAGACACATCAGTGCGCAATAATGTACCGTAGGAAAGTCCCAGCACATCTAGAAATAGACACATCAGTGTTTTCGGCTACACTTTCGCTTACAGCGCAGATACTTGAGATGTGACGATCATGATAACTGATCCAATCACTTCAAATTTCTTTATAATTTAGCCAATTGCTATGTGCCATAATCTGCTCTTAAAGCACCAAACGAGGCCGCGTGTTTGAATTACCATTTTGGTCGTTGTTTTCAAAAATTTTAACATGTTTTGCGGTTGTTAGGCGAACCACATTTATAAAAGCCTAAAGCAAGTTTGAAAGTTAAATTTGACAGATGCCAAAATGCAGCTCTGAGCATTTGAAACCACGAATTAGATAAAAGCAAAATATACAATAGTTATTTTGTAAAATAAATTTTGTTATGATACTGTGAATACCGCTTCTTAGACGACGTGTGTGTAGTAAATTAAGGAAGAAACAATAAACAAATAAGTATAAATAAACATTGCTATTTAAGTTAAGCATGTCGCCTGTCAAGGTGAAAAATACTCATTTCCTACATATACATAAATATATTTCTATGGAGACACTGTAAATACACCTTGCATGTTCATATTTATACCGAATACACTAAACATTTTTTTTATTTATATAACATATAAACACTTATTTAAATTTAAAGAAATAATAATTTTATGAAAACTTGATTTTCTCAGCGGTCAACTACTACAAAAAAAAGTTATATAAATAATTTTAATTGATTGTTTCTGTTTCCAGCTTGCTTCTATGTTCAATAACAAAATTGTTTAATTTTGGCAAGATATATTTGGTAATTAAATGGAACAATTTTGCTTTTGTCGTGAAGCAACTTGGCAACAGTTTTACTGCTTTAGTTCCTTTTCGTGTGTGTGGAATACCGACTCAAATGTAAAAAAAAAAAAACAAAACAAAAATCCTGATAAAAGATAATTAAGTTTCCTTATGCAAAAGCTGTCTATTCATTCATGTTCACAAAAAATTTTGTATTCGTAGACGTTGTGATCCTGTAAATTTATATACAAACATACATTGTATAAATAATTTTCATTTGGCAAACAATTTACCAGCTTTTTACCTTCCGTTATTGTAATTAAAGCATCAGTGTTGTTGGGTTTTTCATACACTAACCGCTTTCCATCAAAAATATTTTATTTTCAATTCAAAAAACCGATAAAAATGGTGTGTGTACATATTGTTTTTAATAAATCTCTTTCTTTCCCTTTGTAGACATTGGTGTTACCATTTTAGCTAAAGAAATGTTTACAAATTGAATATATGTATAATTAGAGAACGCATACAGATTTATATTGCAATATTTATTAATTAAATTCATGTGTTATTTTTTATATCCTCCTTTGCCACTCTATACAAAATTCATTTGCTACAAACACACCTCAATGCCATGCCATACAATCGGACCATTTTTCCAAATAAAAATTATCACTATTTTTAAAACAAAAATTCACAAAAATTCACTAAAATCAAAATTTACTCTAAACAAATCTAAACAAAAACAAATACAAAAACTATAAATGTGTCGATATACTAAATTAACAACAAAAAACACTTGCATATTCGAAACATATCAGATTTATGGCACTGCTCCCACAAAAATGGATTGAGGTAGATCTAAAAACATTAAGGGCTATACGTGTGCTAAGGCCCTTGAAATTAGTCTCTGGAATTCCTAGTGAGTAGTTGCATTAGATGTAAACAATAATTAACAAACAAATTTAATACCGTATTTAATTAGAAAATAATTTATGTATTACTATATGTATACGTATATTTATATATATGTATATACAAAATGAAGTTTTATATATCTATATACATATAAATACATAGTATATACTTCTAGTTCAAGTATATTTAAAATTTAGTGTAGTTTATTTTTTCTAGATTTTTTCGAATAAAAATTATAAATAATTGCATCAAGCGATTTAGCGGGTTTTTTCATTTTTTATACATACATACATACATACATAAATCAGTAGCTGGAAGTAATGAGATATGTTCAATTTTATGCTTTCGAAACAATTAATGCTTTGCGATCACCAAATTTCTATTGCTGAAGCGTTTAGAAATTATTAACGCATAGATATTTTATTCAAGAGCATGTGATGCATTGAGCTTTAGAAATTAGAAATTAGTTAACATAAATGCTTAAAGTAAAAGAAATGAAATTTAATTTTACAAAGTCAAAGTTACAAGTCAGCGCATCCTACAAAATTATTTGATTTCCATTAGAATTTGAATTCCATTTTGGTTCTCTATATTTTCCAGCCAAATATTATATATTAAATATAGCTAAATATTAATATAATTTTACAATATACATATATCCAACATTCATTGCGATCTGTATATGCTACAAGCATTGTAACTAAATCTTAAAAAACTTTATGTAGTAAGTAATAATGCCCATTTGTTTAACCATTTCATATAAGTTATCTTCCGCAGATGGTAAAGATATGCGGGTAGGAAGTATACCATATGTCCAAGGGGTAATATTTATGCAGTACAATTGTCTGGGCTTATGCCAAGAACGCTACGCTTTGTAAATACGACTGTTATCCAAATGAGTCTTCTATCCAGGTGTATTCCAAGGCATTCAGCCCGATTCTACACAGAAATTCCGAAAGAATGTTTTCTCCCTTCCTTTTTCTCTCATTCTCAATGACATCTCGCCGGAAGATTTTTCCCTTTCTTCTATTCTCAATGAAGTTCGAAAGAGAGTTTTTTTTCGCGCGGAGCAGACATCACTAACGTGAAAATTGGAGAGAAAACTTTGACTTTTCTCAACAGTTATACCGCAACTATTTGTTGAGTAGATGGACGAAAACATGAATTTTTTTTCTTGGCAAACTCCAGAATGAGATACCTCAATATGTCGAGTTCTCTGCTCATAGCTCATACCTGGAAATATGATTTGTTTACACTCATAAAAAAGTAATAGTACTCTTGATGTCTTACCAGCATTACCTCTAATCTGAAGTTTGCTATTCGGTTTTAGAAAAGATGTTTATTTTCAGCAGGAGCAATAATGTTAACATGTGTTCCATCAATGCAACCAACTACGCCAGCGATACCGTGCTTCATATTTTACACTTTCCATCTTCTGTGCCAGCAACTTTTATCCACTTTGTTGAAAGTGGACTGTGCGCGAGACACAAGAGAATTTTTTCTTAACCAAGTTCAGTAAGCGCCTTCAGCAAAAATTAAAAAAAGCACTCAACTTCACCAGCGGAGGAGTGGCAAATTATTTCTTAGCTGGCTGAATATTGAACACCAAAATATTCAATAAATATTGGAATGGCATATTCCCACGCGCAATCGCTCAAGTCCCTTTTAAAAAGTTTTTGAAGTGTATTACTCTTCTTCTTCTGCCACTAATCTTATTGTAATACTAAGCTTTTTTTTCAAATTTCATGTTTTAAATTAATTTTTTTTTATTTTTCATTGAATTTCAAAATACGACAGAGAGCTGATTTTCGGATTTCGACGGACTTTTCTTCTACTTTTCTCACCGTTGATTTGGTCTTTGGTGATTCCTTCCCCTACAGCTCCCTTATAGAGTTCTGTAACATCTTTCATATAAGTCATTAGTCTCTGATGCTAAGCACTATCAAATGCTTGTGATTATCGAGATCAGTAACTGTGAAATATATTTATTTCCTCAATTTCTCGTCCTGCTCCTGCTCTATTTAATAAGAATCCAGTAAATAGATCGTAGCTACCCACATCATTGAACCTGATGATTAATACGCAAAGACTCTATATTATTCGGAAATGCAGAAAGGTGATTCAGGGTCTATGTGTCTGGTTTGAAAAAGGACTTAAGAACCAAAAAAAGTGAATGAAACTTTCACACTTGAACCTGGGAGGTTTACTAAACTTAGTCGAGTTACCATTCGACTGGTTTGCCCTCAAAAGTGTTTCAAGAATTATCATCTAGTTCTAGCTTACGATTATAGAGCAGAAATTTCCGTCCGAATTTGACAATTTCGATATGACATTTAAATATACTTATGTGGTCTGAGTGTACTCCACAGTCTACGATGCTATGTCCATTTATCGAAATAACGAGTAAGTAATGTTGCGCGACTTGTAGAGTTTGGTCTGTGTTGGTAGAGAGTCGCTCATTAATCCTGTCCTGCTATTTGGTGCGCAGGCATGGACGATGATAAGATCAGATGTATGGACGTTAAAAGTTTTCGAGCAAAAGGTTTTGCGCAAGATTTATGACTTAATTTATGGAGGGTCCTAGGTCTACACGGTATATTCAAGCGGTGCTTACGATAGTAAAGAAGAAGAATGTTATGAGACCTGTCTTTCTTTTACAATTGTCTACTCAGTCAATGCCTTTTGGCATAAGTGATGCCGTATTGGAATTAAGTCAAATATTATTATTGAGTTGATGGTTCCTAAATAGACCAAATTGTTCCAGAATTTAAAGATATGTCAATAGTGGCGGTTAAGGCAAAGAGGCGATGTTCTTATCTTAACTAATCTTAGATTTCATAGAGTTTCTTTGTCCGAAGCAACGCTTGATATTGAAAGGCTCGTAGAAATCCTTTCCATTTTTGACGGTATAGAGTGAGATCCCTTTTGTTTTAATGAAGGCAACTATCAAATGTCTTGCGTTTCTTTGATTTATAATTCGAAGAAAACTGTATGAATTAGAAAAAATCACATGATCGATCATATCTCTTAGAGAAACTGGTATATGCATAATACACGTCTCATTACTTCTCAGATTAGTCTGCGCTTTGTTTCGTAGTGCTGCAGTATGATTTTAATTTAAAAATAGCATGAGTTTTTTACTTTTATTAGTGAAATAGAAGCTACATATCCAGTACTACCTCTAATATTTGGTTTTTCTCTCTCGCGCGCAACCTACGCTTCCTCCTGATGTGCTGTTCGAAACTAAAAATTTCGCCGAAAACAGGTTTACAAGTAGTTTTAAAATCCATTATAAAGGCAATGGCGCCGTTACTTCAAATCGGACTTTTGGTCCTGTTTGCGATCGTTATATTTGCAATCATCGGACTCGAGTTCTATTCGGGCGCACTACATAAGACTTGTTATAGTTTAGAAGATCCAAGTAAGTAAAATCATCTTAAATAAGTATTTAAATTGATTTAATATTTGTAAGCGATTTTAAGAACAAAAAAATCAATTGCTGTTGACTGTGTTGTATGATAATGGCGAACAAATATTTGATTCAGCAATTAAATTACTATTAACGAAATTGTTTTATCCTAAGTATATTTGTGATTATGATGAAACGGAAAGAATAAGACTACAATACTCTGTACATGACTACAAATTGTTGAAGAAAATGGAAGTCCAATAATAATTTTTTTACTGATAATGGTATTTCGGCTTCATTCCGACAATATTGAGACAGACAACTCTGAATTTGAACTGAATCTTTTGGAAATTTTATTTCTTAAAAAATTTCTCCATAAAGTTGAAAAATGGAAATACTGTCCATCATGATTTCTTACTTATAAACTTGTGATCGACTTTTCAGATCAACTTCTGATTTCAAAGTAAAAACATTTGTTAAATTTTATACCGTTAATTTTTCGCAATAAAAGTCACAAAGACTACACTTACGCAGCTAAAAATACCATTATCGAGCTATCTTTTAAAACTATTATTTATAAAAAATTGAAATAATTTATATTCTTACATCCGTTTATTTTCTAGGAAAATCTGTTAAGGAAGGTGAATCTGAGACACCATGCTACTCGGATAATGCGACGGGGAAAGCATCTGGTTCATTTATATGTAATTATAACACGAGTATGTGTCTGGAAAAATGGGAAGGGCCGAATTGGGGCATAACTAGTTTTGATAATATCGGCTTTGCCATGTTGACTGTGTTCCAATGTATCACAATGGAGGGCTGGACTGCAATACTGTATTGGGTAAATTAAAATATATAAAATTCATCACAAGCAATCGCTAGAAATACATACACTTGTGCATTTTTTGTGCAATAGAACGTATCTGCTAGAACGCTTCTCAACCAAGGTCTTAATCATAACATAAATACTGATAGAGCGTACACTAAAAAAAAAGAAGAAATTAAACATTTTCTATTCAACAACCAACTTATACATACTTACATATACCTAACTATGGCCTGCCAGTTGAAATAAGATTAGTCAGTGTTTCTTAAATGCATTAAAATCGTATGCCATGAGCTGTCTTACCGATATTTTCTCTATGTTTGTTTGAGTCTACTATACTTTTGCATAGGCGCAACAGTATAGAGCAGTTGCCATTGTATCGTATAATATTCCGTTCATTTCTCCAATTCAGTTTACTGTGGGCCCTCGCCGGGCTGGTGATTTACTAGTGGAAACTGAGTTCTCAAAATGCATGATATAAGTATGAACTATCGATTTTTTTACTAATTCCACATAATTTCTCGTACAAATGTACTCGAATGCAACTAATGCATTTTGTTTTTTAATTTGAAAATATCATAGCCCTGATAAAGCTTTCTAGTATTCTACTTTGTCAAACTCTGATTTACCTAATACAGAATTGCCTATCAAATATGATAGTGAGCTAATTGAGAAGGTGAATGATGTTTGGGTAATTTTTATCTGTCAGCGCCATTTTTTAAATCTAAATGCGCTTATCTCTAACCAACACACGCTATTTGTAAAGTTTTTCATTTTGATGCATTCCTTAGTAATTAATAATAAATCAATATCACTTATACTTTCGTTATATGAAATTTTGAATTTTATTTTGTTGCAAAGTTAACTGTCACTATTCTGTGAATTCAAAGGCTAGGTAGGATGAACCAAAACTGTGATTTGAATGTTTTTAAACCCTTTGTTTTCTTTGCCTTGAGATTTGAAGCCACTAGAAGAGAGCAGATGCGGCCAACAATATGAACAGTACAAGAAGCTAAATCGAATTCTGATCGTCTGCGTCTAGGTATAAGTGTCTCCCAGATTTTAAGATTTAACTTAGATCGGACTAAGACCCATTTCGATGTCACTAAAACTTGGTATCATTAGATCCACGACCTTAACGCCGGCTATGTTCTATAGGCCATCTAGCGATAGGGTTCCGAAATTTCGAAACAAACTTCTGCTCCAAGCATCACAGTCGTATAAGAGATGGGTGATAGTTTCCTCCTCTTCATCATCCTTGCAGCTTCTGTATCATCTTCTATAGGGAGCATCTTGTCTTTCCGGGTCTTTCCCTAGCAGAAAGCAGCCTGTTAGAACTCCCATTTTTGGAAATGCTCCCTCTTTTTAAGGATAAATAATAAGTATTTCGTCATATCTTGTTCTCCCATTTGAGCCAGGTGTACTATGATTTGCAGAAAGTTTAGTATCATTCCAACTTGTCGCAGTTTGTTATCTAGGAAGGCAACAAAACGGAATTTCTTTTTAAAACAATCTAGATTATACTATATCTAAGTGTTTTTTATGCCTTTAATAAAATAGGCTGCTCAAATAATTTGAATGGAATTCATATTTAGCAAGGCTAATATTGGTCAAGCAAAAAGTTTGTTTGGTTTTTGTATATGCGCCGTTTTGTTCGTAAACTTGTTGCCCACGAGATGCCAACTTCATTATAGGCTTCTCGTAGAAGACTGCGTCACTATGGGCAAAAAACTCGAAGAGCCAATTTTCACAGGCCTCTCTTGAGGCCAACTTCTCACCTCAGCGCGTTCGCCAAGGACAGGAAAAGATGGTAATAACTTGGTGTCAGGTCCGGACTATAAGGTGGGTGCTTTGGGACCTCCCATCCGAGCTCCTGGAGCTTCTGATGCGTCACCAAAGACGTATGCGGCCTAGCGTCGACCTAATGGAACACAATTCGGCCTCTGTTGATTAAAGATGACCTTTTCTGGATGAGTGGTGCCTTCAAGCGGTCCATTTGTTGGCAGTAGAGGGCCGAGTTGAGTATTTGGCCATAGAGGAGCAGCTCGTAGTAGTTGATTCCTTGCTAATCCCACCAAACACACATCAATACCTTCCTGGCCGTCGATCTGGTCTTCGGACTTCGTCTGGACCGCTTCCCAGAGCTTTGACCACGGACGTTTGCTATCGATGTTGTTGTAAATGACCCATTCTTCAGCGCCAGACAAAATCCGCTTCAGAAATGGGTCGAGTTTGTTGCGATTCAGCAGCGATTCGCAGGTGGAAGTTCGGTCCATAATGTTTTTTTTTGCGTTAGTACGTACGGCGCCCAAACATCGAGCTTCTTTTTGAACCCGAGGTTATGCAAATGTTTCCAAACGGTTTTCTGGCTTATCTTTAGTTCCTCAGCAATTAAATAAGAGCTCAGGTGACGGTGTGTTTCCACTATCTCCTTGATTTTAACGCAATTTTCGACGACAGGCCTCCCGACACGTGGTGCATCTTTGACATCGAAATTACCGGAACCGCAATAAAATCAAACAGCTTTTGTCCTACACGTTCGTTAACAGTATCAGGCCCATAAACTAAATTAATTTTTTCAGCCGCTTTGGCTGCTTTTTCTCCTTGATCCAAGTAAAATTGTAAAACATAGCGAATTTTCTCTTTGCTGGTGCTCATCTTGGACGAGCGCTCACAACGTACTCAGTCAATCAATCGAAAAACTGTCAGAGACTAACTTTTAGCTCGAATTAACTCGTTTTCAGTGCCATATAGTATGACATGATGCGCCACGTAACACTAGTGCTATGGGCAAAAACGGCATCGAACCCAACCCGCCAACTAAACGAACTTTTACTACTTGGCTTAATATTTTAGTGCCTAGTTCAATGTAACCTTCGATGTTCAATGAAGCCTTATAAATACATCGACCTTCAAGTGCTTGAACTTAGTTCGCAAGATATATTAACAAACCTCAGCAATAGAGAGTTTCAAATAGTAAATGTCAAGCTACATGGGAAGAAAATGTTCTCTATTCGAGCAAAAATTGTGCCTCTGACTGAATTTATGACATTATACGGTCCTTGGGACTGGTGTGCCCTTATGTTTTTGTATTATTTGACATTATAAAGACATATTTATAATATGCATGATTTTAACTCTGATTACTTTTGGTGATTATTTTCAAATGGAATGCATCAAGCTTGAACTTCTTTGTGTGTTTCATGGTATTCTCTATAGAAATATATATGTATATATAAACCTCGAATTTTAATGATAGCAATAATGATTTATAGAAATATACTTATAACAAAATTAATTTAAAAAAAAATAAATTTTAAAATCATAGAAATTTAATTGGAGAAATTGGAACTTTATTAATTTGTCAATAATTTATTATTAAATACATTTTTTTTGAGTAGTTAATATGAACAACAAGGAAGCAAAATTTGAAAGTGATAAAATATCATATTTCAACTTTTAATACAAAAACAATTATACTATTCTTAACATTTATTACAACTCTTCGACACAACTTTTTAGCTCCCAGGTTCTGCGATAATTAATCAAATAATCGTTCTTGCTCACCACTGAAAAACTATCGAAATATATATTTATACCTATGTAAATTTTGTTTAATGTGTCACCGCAAGTTTAAAGCAAAATATATTAATATTAGTGTATTTTTGAGAAATTGCTTTAATTAGTGTGAAACTAATGAAAAAAAAAATTAATGAAACTGGAGATATTTCTTTTAATAATTTAAGCAAATTTTTAACCCCTAATATTGTGTTGAGCAATTTAAAGATGGTAAGAATTGATTTAGAGAAACATTTATTAACAAAACGTAGATTTTCTTAACTATAAAAATTTAATATTTTTTCGGGGCAAAGAATAAGTAACTGAACTAAAAAAATAAATAAATAAATGAAATGCGTTAAATTTCTTATTACTTTTGGTGTGAAGAAATAATGTTGGAGCATATTATTTTATATTTAAGATATCCTCATAAGTAAAACGATTTGAGTTTACTGAATTCAAAATAAACAATAAATTTAATAAACCTTAAATTTATACCTTCACCACGATTATTCTTACAGACCAACGACGCTTTAGGTTCAACTTTTAATTGGATATATTTCGTGCCTCTTATAGTTATAGGCTCATTTTTTATGCTCAACTTAGTTCTCGGTGTTCTTAGCGGGTAAGTCGATTTTCAATATCAAAATGCATATTTTTGAAAATACTCAACTATGTGTGTATAATTTATAGTTAAAGTATTTTACAATAATTAAAATAATTTTACAATAATTTTAATATATTTCTATTGTTTTTATTTAAAGCGATTTAAATAATTTTCCATTTAATTTGATTTAACAATTTATTCTAATTTATTTGTTCTTTTCCTGTTATTTTAATCAAACTCAAAATAAATATAATTAACATCTGAATATGAACAAACACTGAAAATGTTTCATGCAGTGAGTTTTCAAATGAGCGTAATCGGGTCGAACGGCGCATGGAGTTTCAAAAATGTCGCTTTCGCACTATGTTTCAAACTGCCATGGTTTCATATCTCGATTGGATAACACAAGCAGGTTTTTGGCATACCCTTTTTATAATTAAAAAAAATAAACACATTTATGGCCGAATGGCCTTATAAGCATACATAGTACCGCTACTGTTACCTTCTATTACCACGACATAGTACATAGAACCAGCAATATGAAAATTGTGTTTTCAGCATATGTATACCCCGCCACAAATAATTTTGATGACAGCATTACAATGCAAGCGAACAAATTATAATATTTCCTTGGCACATGAGAAAATCGGTAGACATTAAGATATTGATTAAGAAAATGTGAAAGATTTTTAAGACAAAACTCTTGAAGCTAATAGTAAAGTTGGCTTCACCTAGAAGCCCTCATACGGAGTAAGAATAATTAATTCTTTGTGAAATCTAAATTAAATGAAAATTGTGGGAAAACAGCATGCCTCCGGAAAAACTATTTAACGTTTCGGCTGTAGATATTTATGACAATTGTCTTTTTTGGCTCCAACTTAAATCCGACTCGCTGAAAAGCATCTGCAGAAATAAGAGTTTGTTAATCGTTGAACCGTAATTCTTAGGGACTATATCTTTGGCAGATTTTTTTTTTTCAATTTTAATTAATTATAATCTTTGACGATTGTTCATCAGCTGGTGAAAAACTATATTTCTATACTTAACGATATTCTCATGTGCAGGAAGTACTAGAAATTGATTTAATATAAAAACATGTACTGTTACAAAGCAATATATCAAATATAACCCCGAATAACATACAAGAAGTTACATTCCATTAGTATGCTCCAACTAGTTGCTAGTTTCCAAGAGTGTGTTAATACACCTCTACACAAGTATATTTATATAGGTATAATATTACATATATCCAAACAGCTCCTCAATGACAAAATTATCACATTAACTGATACATCTTGTATGTATGTATTTGAATCGGCATTAATGAAAGTCCAATTTAGAGTTGTAGTTTTCCGTTTCGTTTATACCAGCCGAAAATGTGTTTGAGATGCAGGTTACTGGAAATGGTTTGCGAAAGTTTTGTTTATTTGAATGTTTAGCGATATGAATGTGTTTCTGCATCTTCCGTTTCGAAGAAATTTTATGTACTACTAAAGTAACACAGCAAAGAAATATGACTACGTGCATATGTATTTCATAGAACAAAGGCATTTATCAAAATACAATACAAAGTAAGAAATCCAAATCCAATAAACATTTATAGGAATGTAAGTACAGTAGAAGTATAATTTGTTAATCCAAAGACAATATACAAATAATTTAAGCACACTTTAAAGTAATCTTCACACTTCAGCAATAACTAAGCAAATCTCATTTGTGCATAAATCATTCTCATTCCCCAACCTTGTTGAATTTTTCTTTGGACAATCTATTAATGTTACAGAAGAGTGAAATTTTTCCTTAACAAATAGCTGCGAGTTGCAAATAGGCATTGATTAAAACCATAATTTACATTTTAGGGTATTAAGAGGGGAGATGCGCTTGCTTAGAAAGAGCAACAACTTAAATGGTATGGCCTCATGCAAGAATTTTATGAGTACATAAATATAGGAATGCGCAGGTGAAGCACATCTAGGAATTGCAAAAATAGAATCACATGCATTGTATGTTTATATTATTATACAAACAAGTATTGGATGAGTGCATAAGTTCGTGCCCGATTTCAAGTGCAAACTAAAATTGAAATTTTTTGAAGAAAGCGCTTTTATTAATCAATTATGTATTCGCCATCATGTTCGGCAATCCACTCCCAACGTTCAACCAATTTACGGATGCCTGATTCATAGAAATCGCGCGGTTTCTCGTTGAAAAAGGTGTCAAGGTGGTTTTTGACGTCTTCCACATTTTTAAATTTTTTTCCATTCAAATTGTTCTGCAGCGATCGAAACAAATGATAATCAGAAGGTGCAATGTCGGGTGAATATGGGGGATGCGGCATGATTTCCCAATTCATCTCCTTCAGTTTGGCCAGGGTCGGTTTTGCAACATGTGGCCTGGCGTTGTCATGATGGAAAAGAACTCCTTTGCGATTGGCCAAAATCGGACGTTTTTCATCAATTGCTTTCTTCAATTCGACCAATTGCTGACAATACTTGTTGGCAGTGATCGTTTCTCCAGCTGGCAAGAGCTCAAAATAGATCACGCCTCGGATATCCCACCAAATGCACAGCAGTACCTTCATCGGATGCAATCCACCTTTCGACATCGGTTCCGCCCCTTCGTGTGCCTGTTTCCATGTTCTTTTGCGTTGAACATTGTTGTACAGGATCCATTTTTCATCACCAGTCACGAGCCGATCCAAAAAAGGTTCGTTTTTGATCCGTCGAAGCAAAGAAATTGCTATTGACATACGGTCCACTTGGTTTTTTTTCACTCAACTGTTGTGGCACCCTTGTATCGAGCTTCAAAGTGTACCCAACCTTTTTTAAACAACGAAACGCAGTTGATTGGTTGACGTTCAATTCACTGGCAACCTCTTCCGTCGAAATACGTGAGTTATTCGCAACTAAAGTCCTAAGAACATCGTCATCAAGCTCAGAAGGCCGTCCACTGCGAGGTTGATCTTCGAGGTTAAAATCTCCAGAACGAAATTTCGCGAACTATTTCTTTACTGTGCGAAGTGCTGGAGCACAGTCCAAATAAACTTCACGAATATCTTTAGTTGCAGCACCTACTGTTTTTCCTTTTCAGAATTCGTATAACATAATATGACGTATATGATCTTTTTCGTTGTCCATCTTCCATGCAACTCAAATCAAAATGAAGTTATTTTATGCTTCGTTTACAGTTTGGACTGTCACATTTCCAATGATATAATATGTATATATTTCTTTCAAGAGCGCCACTCTCAAACGATTCGAACGGCATCCAGCGGAATCGGGCACGAACTTATCCACTCATCCAATATTTATATGAGAGGCTTATTTTTAATTAAAAACCTCTTCCTAAAAACGCTAAAACTATTTGTCATCAAGTAATTACAATGATGATATGAAATTTTCTCATACTGGAGCTGTTGGCGCTCCCCTATCTTGTGTCATTATCTTAGAAGCAATCTAATTGTTAAAAGTCCAGAGTTTGTCGGAGAACGCTTGCTACGAGATATTCGTATGATCAAATGTATATCTCAAACAGCTCATCATTCCTTTGACTGCGATATTCGCCGTTCCTAACTCGAAAACTCCTAACGCCGGCTCATCAGATGTTGTCATCGTCTATGGTTCCGCAACAGGCTGACATTGTTGTTGTTTTTAATACTGGCTCCTAGATAGACGAAGTTATCTACGACTTCGAAGTTATGACTGTCAACAGTGACGTGGGAGTCAAGTCGCGAATGCGACGACTATTTGTTTGACGATCGGAGATATTTCGTCTTGCCCTCATTCACTACCAGAACCAATCGCTTCGTTTCTTGATTTAGTACCCATCATGCCTTCCAAGCGAATGCATTAAGGAATCGACATAATGGGAAAAAAATAATTGGAAAAATATTTTCACATCAATAAATTCTTTAGTCGATGCCTCACAGATATACTGGCTGACTGTTGTGCCTGACATATACCTGTTGGATCTATGTAGTGTTGAATTCGAGCTAAACTATTGGCGTGTAGAACGTCAGTGCTTTGGCAAAGTTTAAGAAAGCATTCATATCCAATTTTTACACTTCCACTAAAATTTGGAGTTCAAAACAAATTCGGGCGAATGCGGAAGTGTTTCCAATATCCCACTCATGTTTTTTCTCCCTGCGCCTCCTACAGGCGACATTGCTATTAAAGCATTTAATGGCAGTCGATTTAGTTTCATTGAACAGATTATTTAATTTACAAGGAATTTTATATATATATATGGCATATTCGCCTTTCGGAGGAAGGAAACACTGGTAATACCGCGCAGGAATTCACCGAAAATCCCTTTAACTGTAAATTAGTTTGAAATAAAAACATTCGTCTTTGAAAGTTATTTTTCATGCATGAGATAAAATTTTTTTGAACATTAGTTTGCTTTGGGCTCGCGGTTGCGGTGAGTACGGGAGTTAGAACCTGTAAGATTGATTTTAAGTGATATACACCGTCTATGATGTATTGACGCGTGCCATAAAGTTCCGATTCCAAATGTGTCACTGCTTCTTTAGGATATTCATAAGATCACTGAATTGCCAAGGATTTTTATTAAATTAGCAGAAGAATTGCAGAATATATAATTTTTTTAGTTTTTATTATTCCAAACTTCAGATGAGCGCAAATGTACTCGAATGTGTCTATAATACAATATGAACACCAACCTTTTGCCCCAAAGTAGTTGAATATAATTGAAAAGAAATCTTTATGTTTTGAAAAATTATTTTGAGATTAATATAAAAAACACCGCTACTATTAAAATTTTCTATTTTTATTACACTTATACAAGCTATATAAATCTGTATTGATTTTATTATTATTTGTTCTTATTATTTAATTATAATTTGCTTATTTCTTGTATTTGTTACTTCAATTGAATTTTTGACATAATTTTTTAGATAACAAAAAAAATTTGAAATCAAAATTTCTTCTTAATTTAATTACAATTTGATAATCACATACAGTTATTTCTGCCATCCCTGTATGTATATTATTTCTATGCAATTATTCTTTGTAGTGAATTCGCTAAAGAACGTGAAAAAGTAGAAAATAGACAAGAGTTTCTTAAGCTTAGAAGACAACATCAGCTAGAAAGAGAGTTGAACGGCTATGTTGAATGGATTTGTAAAGCTGGTATAGTATTGCGTTACACCTACAAATATTTGTATTTAATTTATATAAACAATAACACAATTCTACATTTGTACATATATGTTATTTGGTTGAGCAAAAATCTATACATACATACATATTTGACACACACACACACTAGTACTACATTACACAGTATTTACACGCGCACATTGCTATGAGTTGATATCTAAATAAATATATCTTATGGAATTCTATATATCTACCTACATACACTTTCAAAGCTATCAAACATGTGTGTAGTCTATATTTTGCTTAAATAAACAATATATACAAACATATAATTTTCCTGTCTCTGCACTAACTTTTCATATCCAGAGGAAGTGATCTTAGCCGAAGAACGTACTACCGAAGCGGAAAAAATGCATATAATGGAGGGTAAGTCGTAACTGCTACAACATAGAAAAGAGATCACGAGGAATTGTAATGTTTTTTTTTTTTTAAATATCATACTTATATATGCAGTACCCACTAACACATTTTCTTACTTATTATTTCACAGCGCGAAGAAGAAATGCGGCGAAACGGAAAAAACTGAAAAGTTTAGGCAAGTCCAAGTCGACGGACACAGAGGAGGAGGAGGGTGAAGAAGATTACGGGGACGATGGTAAGCCTTGCTTGAAATCATTTTCACATTCGTAATCGTAGCAATGTAGTCACATTCAGTCCACATATAATTGGCCTGTTTTGTATCGAAACGAATACAAAGAAAATACTAAGTTTATGAAAATAGTTGATATACCCGTACGAAAACCACTTACAAACTCACAGTTGACGGAAATTTAATATACGCCAAAAGTAAAGATAGAACTAAAGTCAATTATTATTGTACATCCGACATTTTGCTGCAATTAAATTTCGTTACATACCCCATTAACGCAATGTCAATTGATTTATATATTTTTTTTTTGATTAATTTCCGTGTTTTTAAACCATTATCTCAATGTTTTCGTCTTTTCTTTCTTATGTTGGATTATTTTGCCTGAAATGGCAAATGAAATTTACATTTTTTTTACCATGAAAAATATATATGAACAGAGGGCGGTGAAAAAGGCGATGAAGGTAAATCTAATAATGATTAGTCCATTTTTAGTTTAACTTCAAGTAAATGTTTATAATTATAAAATGGTTATATTACAACCGTTTCCTTTTACTTTAGGCTCAGTTTCCTTTTTTAAGTTTTTTTTTCATTCCTCTCGTTGTACATTATTTGCTTAGATGTCGCCAAAAATATTTTTCAAAGCTTTAAGTATGTATTTATATACTTATGTATACATACATATGCAATACTTATTAAGTAATTTGGTTTCCTTTAGAAACTATAGAATGTGTTTTTTTTCTTAAATTTATTTATTTTAAATTTTGAAGCAATTATGAAAAAAAAAATGCTTAAATGCTTTCTAATTTTTTGACAACCTTTTTCAATAAATTTACACAAGATTTTCTAAACGAACTTTATGGAAATATTCAGTCGATTTTAAAATGTGTAAAGAAAGTATTATAGCAACACTGTTATTGTGTTGTGTATCATGACACAAACAATTTATAAGGTAGTTTGTAATTCGTAATTTTTGACACTAAACGTGTTTGCTCAGAATTGTTTGATTTTGTCACTTGCGAACCCGTTAGAAAAAGTCTTTAAAGACTATGCAATTTGGCATTCCCGGAATATTTGTATTGGGTGTAAATTACACCGAAACTCGAAGAAAATTTCTCTTTGCGTTGGTGTTGGAATTTCGTCTGACTTATCCTCAGCAAGCTTGCGTTTTCTCGTCTCCATTTTAGACTATCGTTCTAAAACTTTAAAGATTGACTAATAAAGTAATTAAAAAGGATTCGGTCTTTTAAGATTTAATAAAAACAAATTTGAAAGTCACTAACTGATTTTCGGCCAGGCTGCTCTTAAAAAATGTCATAGCCAAGTGGTTAGTATTGCGTAGTTACGTTAGGAAGGCCAGGGTGGGTCCTTTTCTGATCCCCATCTAAAAATTATAGAAAATTAATTATTTTGATGGCAATCGCCCCCAGGCAGAGAATTTTAAAAAAATTCTATAAAACCAAACCAGCAACCGTTTGTTCCAGAAATTGTAGGACGAGCTTGGCAAAAAATCGCGACAACGATTAAAAACGCCAATTATTAGTTGACCTTCAAGCAAATAGGCGTAGTCCATGCACCAGCACTTCTTCATGAAATCAATTTAAATTTCGGTGGGTCAATATTTTTCCCTTCTGTTACCTTCATACTTGGGCTAGAGTTGTAATGCAATGATCGTGAAAGGCATATACGCGATGAAGTCCACTATGTGGGGTTATAAAATTAATACAAGAGGGTAACACAAAGAAAAAAAACGAAATCGTTTAATGTCCGAGAGCAATGAGGTTAACTGGGAAGAGAAAATGGAACTACCTTTAAATTATTGTATCATGCTGTATACTATGGTAGAGCATGAACGAAAACACTAGACAGACTTATTCCGTAACAAAGTAAAAATAAGAGCACCATCGATATTTGTGGAAGTACAATGTCTTAAGAAATAAGCACCTCTTCACGGGCTCTAGATTCAAATATGTATGTTGGCTGCCCGTGAAAGTGGACCAGTTTGCTTAAGACGAACCTTTCCGATAGTAGATATTAGAGCTCTAAATACCCGGGTGAGCAGCTCGATACTCGCTCGTTGCTCAACTGCTCAAATGATAGTTTAAAACTTTTCAAATTTTAATTTTGTTTGTCAAAACTTCTTTAACATTTCAAAGAGCTCTAGACTTTGTCTAAATAAAATTAAAATTACAAATTAAGTTCTGGGAAAAAATTTCAAATTTTTTATTCAAAATGCTCGAAAAATCTTGAACTGCTCGAGCTCAAGCTCGAAAATTTTCGAGAAATGAGCAATAAACGAGTGTTCAAGTACTCGTTGCTCAAATGCTCGAGTAGATCGAAAATTTTCGAACAAAATCTTGAGCTCTATTAGATAAAGCCTTTCCGATAGATATTGTATCTAAGAAAATTAAAATTGTTATTGTTTTAGTTACTAGGAATTAAATATTTATCGGTACCTCCTTCTTACCTATTAGACCACTTATAAGAAAAATAATTTTCGTAGCAGAACACAATATTCATACAAATTGGTTTGGATTAAAACAAAAAGAACAAGAATAATTATTCATAGTAGTGGTTTATTGTGTAAAATGTCGATAGAATTGATTTAGTTGCTTGTAGTTAGTCTTTATTTTCCCCAGTGTAATATAATATATGTTTTTAGAAATTTCTTGACAGCTTGTTAATTAGTATATTTTAGTTAAGCATACTCTTAGCTTGGATCTCAATTTTAATCCACATGTAAAGGTTTAAATTCTGGTTGTTCTACGATAGTAGTTAAGTACAGTCCTGGGACCAGTCCAAGTATATGCCGGCTTATAACTGGATGTCCTTTTATTCGTAAAAAACAAATTTCAAGGATTTGAGTTTTGAAAAAAAAAAAATAATAAATATAGTTGATAAAAAATTAACAAAAGAGATTTGGTGAAGGCGAATAGATAACGAAAAATAACACATATTTCCCATTGTCAGCTGGGAATATGCTTGATTGAGTACGTGTTTAGAGTTTTGAATTCTTGAAACACAGTTGCGTCTTCACGCGTCTGTTTACAATGCAAGTAGTTATAAAAAGGATATTATTTTATATTTTAATTTTCAAAGAGTTTTCGCTCCTGATTATCGTACAGCGTGGCATCCAATTCTGACTGTGTTTTTGTTAAATATTTTCGGGAAATCGATTAACTTATTTTTAGCTTAATTTATACAAGCTACTTGGGCTATTTTTACAGTAAGTATTTCTTACTGGTTCTTACCCCTGACTTCAGCCGCATAGAATTTGAAATTGGTTCTAGTGAGATTTTTTTATTGACTTTTTACATTATTTATTTTATTACAACATACAAATTATTATTTTTTTCGAAGATATCGGATCCGAAAGATATTTTTGAATAGATCGGTCTCTGGTCCGTGGAATAAATCAATTTATTTTCCACATATCAGGCAAAGCGATAAAAATATAAGATTTTTTTCCTTATGCTCCATTTCCCTGAAGGAAAAGCTTTCGTAGGAAACGAGAATGAATGGTCCACTTCCCTAAAAGAAGTTATGTATTCATCTAAGCAAAAGGCTATCTATGTTCCAGATATTAAGTACATCAAATACATTAAGTAAAATCAAAAGAATGGGAATGGGAAATTTTTCGAATAGATCGATCCCAGGACCACTTCACGGGAAAAAGAATCTCCCATGTAAATTTAGACGAGAGTTACCTATGTACCAAATTTTATGTCAACCAAACGATTTAAAAATATATTCGCTCAGCTGTGCTTTTATTGTCTACACCAAAAGCATAAATTCCTTAATACCATTGCATCAAGTACTCGCATACCCTTCAGTGATTTTAAATGAAGTAATTGAAGAAAAAAAATTAATAAATATTTAGCACCAATATTTATTTCATCTTGTTCTTCTCCTAGATTTTTATAGGGCTTTTCTTAATAAAGTAGAAAGTAACTCATTTTTCTCTACCTTACTGTATTGTACATAGAAATTTGAAGTAAAAACGCAGTTTAAACATTGGATGCGCGTCTATCGATGACAAAAGAAGGTATCTGGTTATAAAATAATGGTATTGTGGTCATATATGTGATATGGATATGGAGATATATGTATAGAATTCAAAAATATGAAATGCTGCGTGGTAAAATTGGGCGGACGACTAGATCTTAGAATTAAATTTTATTATATTTTTGAGTTGTTATGACTTAAAAATCATTAGATTAGGATTACACTTTTTAAGAAAGCATCAGATGTGAATTCCTTCAGTTTGTGTCGGTATACCTATGTATATACGGTTTTCAGACTTTTCAAATTATTGTCGATGTTTATCATTAATTTAGTCAAACAAGTGTACCATAGTTGTTTTTAAAGTTTATATGTATATATATATGTATTTATATATGTATTTTTGTTTTTTTCCGCCAATAAATTGAAAACGTATATTCGTATAATTGATAGCTCTAATTTATTAGGTGCGAATATATATCTACATAGGAGCGTTTTTATTGTTCCCACTCGAGTTTCCTTTAGAAATAATTTGTTATTTTTTATGTCTTAATATATAATTTATTAAAAATTTTTCGCTTAATTACATAAATAAGTTTACATATGATTAATGATGAATATATTTATCTTTTAATTTCGTTATTTTTCTCTACAAAAATGTACAAAAATTCATAATATTATTATGACCAAATGATGTGTAAGTAAATTGAAACTGATAATAATTCTCTTCACGTGACTCAATAGTAACACACCCCTTACTTTCTTTCACTTGCCACTCATTTATTCAAAACTCAAATAGTATTAACACCCGAATTCCATTAGAGAAAATTTTCATTGTACTTCAATAAATCATATGTTAACTCATTTCAAACTGCACTTACAAATATTTATTGTCAGAGAGGTGAGTGGATAAAATAAAATGGAATCAAATTTTCAAACAATTTTTATTTTGCGGAAATTTCAATAGCTGACACTCCATAGCCCCTTAACTAAATAACTAATTCGATATAATTTCCGGCGAGTTCTTCTTAACAGCAAAAGTAATTGAGTAATAATCAGAGTAAAATCTCGATAGACGAGTTTTTTATTGATTTTAGTTTTAACTTTCTGTATTGTTCTTGGACGAACCCTCAGTTGAAAACTTTTTGCTCTGTTCTAATGGTCGGTTATGGAAATTCCGACGTTTTTGAGTCTCAATATGTATAACTTACAAACACTTTGAAGCAAGAAATGAGTGCCACTTGGGTGTACGTATGTAAGGCCTCTCAGGAGTATTAAGTTCAAATATTTTATTTAGCATGGCGCAGAATAGTTTTATAACTTGCTTACACAATGAACGATATATTTACTTTGAAAAGATAAAAATAAAGTAAGCATAACAAAACGTTTGTATGTGTATCGGCTTTAAATTTATTTAGATTCCAAAGTTAGAGTAAGCATAATCTTATAAATTTTTATCGTTTACTTTCATACTCAATATATTTCAATTTAGTTTATTCTTACATGTATGTATGTATGCACATACATATACATATACGCTTTGCAGCTTGCAAAAAGAACAGTAAAAAAGTGCTGAATGATTTCCCTGCTTATCAACAGAGATTGAAAATACATATTGTTAACCGGTAATACAGGGTTTCCCAATAATGGGTGTTATTTTGATATTCAAAGTAAAATGAGATTTTTCTTATATAAAAGATCTATTTCAATTTACAGAGGACGATATGAAATTAATAATGCAACACAATATCAGCCAATTGGTCGCCCCGGCTAAGCTTAAACGACCATATCCTTTTTATGAAAATTTTCCATTACCAATTCGCTAAGTCGCTGCTCAATAGCTTTCATCTTCCTTACCTGTTCCACCTTACCTTTCACGTAGTCCCAAAGTAGGAAGTTGCAAGGAGTTAAATCAAGATCTCTCGAGAGATAACACGGTCCGGAAACTTTTCCCTTAAAAGATATATGGTTTCGTTGCTTGTGTGGCACATAAATCTGTCTGGTTGAAAGTAAATTCAATCTCGCTTATGAAAAAAACATGAAACATCTCTTGATAGCGCCATTCACCATAATTATTGCTCCAACCTCATTTTCTAACTAACAAGGTCCAATGACCCCTTCGGGTCATAAACAGCACCAAACAAACGTGTAGCATGGAGAGGCTTTTCAACAATAAATCTTGGGTTTACCGAGCTGGTTGCCGCATCCATCGAGGTGGAAATGGGTCTCATCAGTCAATATGATCTTTCGATGAAATTCCGGATCATTTTCGTGCATTTCAAGCACCCAATCAGCAAAGACACGATGTTGTTAAAGATCCACCAGCTTGAGTTATTATGTTAATTGAACTTTATAAGCCTTAAGACCCCAGTCTTTATGCAAATTACGGTGTAATGACGTTTGTGAAATGCCTAAATCCATTGAACGACGGAATACTTAGCGTTATAACAGCAATATTTTTGGTTGTTCTTGAGAGCCGGGCAGATGTTTCATTTTTCACATCACTAACTTGTCCCAACAACTTCATTTTTTCTATAATTGCTTCCAATTTCTGTATTGAGTTCCGACATGGAGCTTCTCGAAGACGGAAGAATGCCTCAATTTATTGAGCTGTCTCTAACGAATTTTCTTTTTTTTTAATAATTAGATAAACTCAATGCATTGTTGAAGCGTATATCGTTACATTGTTATTGCGTAGTTTTTACTTAAAAAATTTCAAAAATTACAACTTCAAAAGTGACATCAACCCGAATAGCAGGCTATTCGAAAGAGCACCTCTTCTTGGATAACCCTATAACAGAACAAAAACTAAAAAACTTCATTAATATTGGGCTATTCTATATGCCCAATCCATTCCGATATATTACTTATTTCAAAATATTTTCTTCTGACATACTCGTATGTACGAGTACACTGCCGTTCAACTGAAGAGGTTCAATGAAATTTGTGTGCATTTACTGTCATACTGGAAATAAGAATAACGGAATGCTTTTAGGGTAAATTTTAAATTAGGCATTCGTTGTTACATTCCCATTTGGCTTATCAGAATAGGTTCAAAGAAAAACATTTCATTCTGGAGTCAACGGTCAAACGTTTCATACCTTAACGTTATTGATTATATTCAATCACTAAATTTAAAGTAAAAAAAATATATAATTATAAGGAGTGGAGTGGATAAGCGAACAAAACGTAAATTTACTTCAGTGGACGCCATACTCACCGAATTTAAAAATCAAATGAAATGGAAGTTTATCAGAGCGGAAGGCAATAAGAAAACACGGAGTTCTTAATTGATTCCCTTAAAGCAGTCTGGACGACTATTCGATGAAAATTCTTGCAAATTAATCCAAGTCCTTAAAAGATAGAATGTATGAGAAAATCTCAGCCTAAGGTTCATTTAATAAATACTAAATTTTACTTAATGAGATAATTTTTTTTTTGTTTAGTGTGAAGCTTATGACTTATTCAATTAAGCCGCAAAATATTCTATTTCTGTTACACTTTTTTTTTTAAATTAAATGATAGAGATAGAGACTGCAGATTTTTATTTCTCTTCAAACAAATCAATTTTTTATAAATGCAAAATAGTTTTATTATAAGTTTTTAGTGAGCTGAAGGCCAGGTCCGCTTGTATGAATTGAATATATTTATTATAAAATAAAGACAAAATGGTAGCAGTGACAGCTGCTTCGGAGATCATCACATCTCCTTATCAGATTTCTTATGGCAGCGATCGAACCAACGGATCCTGACTTAACAGGCTAGTGGTCAATGCATTATTAACCAACAACAATTAAAAATAGTTGTTGATTTTTAAATCGGGCAGTTGGATGTAAAGATACAACACTTACTTTTGAAAACGTTATCAAACTATTCAGTTGAACGGCAGTACATCGATGGTAAAATTATAAAACAAATTTTGCATTTCGAAAAAAGCGAAAACTTTTTTATTCAAAGCATTGTTTTTTTTTTCAGACCAAAAGCGAAATTATATTTTGTCTTCGAACTTTCGTTGAAAATTTAAAAATATCAACGGTTATTTTCAATCTCTACTTACCAGTTTTATCAATTCCTGTATGGAAGTTTTCGAATTATATGCAACTTATTCCATCAACATTCTCAATACATACAGATAAATTCATTTTTTAAAGCAACTGCAAGTTATGTTTTGTGACCGCTTCTACGTTCATTAAATTACATTAATATTTTTGTATTATAATTTGCGCTTTGTATCTGCTGAAGCGATTTTCGGAAACATCAATAATTTTTTATGGCGTCAATAAATATAACTTAAATTTGCAATCAGTTTCCTGCTGGTGAGGATTTTTTCATTAAAATCAATTCTTACATTTCTTCAATTTTCCACATATTTTGTTAGTCTACTATTTATATATGCATACATACGTACTTTTCTTCAAAAAAAAAAGCGGTAGGAAAACATTTTCGTACATTAATTATCTACATACATACATATATATAGCAAACTCAAATTTTCCCTTTCCTTAAGCGCAAAAAAATATATTAATATACATACATACTTAATTAAAATATCATTCTGACATATATGTATACATTTATTTTTTTTTTTTAACTCCAACTACAGGATACCTGAAATCACGCCCGAAACCTCAAGGCAGCTGTACGGGCTTTTGGCGTGCCGAAAAGCGTTTCCGTTTCTGGATACGACACACAGTGAAAACGCAGTGGTTCTATTGGTTCGTCATCGTACTCGTATTTCTGAACACTATGTGCGTCGCAGTAGAGCACTATGGCCAACCGCAATTCTTAACAGATTTTTTATGTAAGTGTTTTATATAATCCTTCACCCGCCACACCGGTTCCCAGAATTACAGAGCTTGCGTCTTATGAATAACCGGTCTGTTGGGTAATTGATTTAATGCAGTTATAGATTCCATATTTTTTTTTGTCTATTGCTAATTTTAGAAGTTTAATAGCAGAAAATACTATAGGGAGCTCATTCATTAACGAAAATTTTTGTATGTGATAAAGTAAAGAATTTAACTAAAAAAAAACTCAAAAACAGGTGTCTACGAAATGGGCCTGGTTATTTAGCTTAACCATCAATAAATCATAAATATATAACAAAAACTACTACGCCGGAAAAAATTTGGGGCTCCTTCTATATGAGTTGAGTGGATACGGTTGCTGATTAGAGTGACCGTCTCAGATGTACGAACCGTTTTTTATATCTGCCGTTGCCACGTCAGCCAGGCAGTCAAAGAAGTGATGTTCTAGGTATTTATGTCCTGTAATGCTTAAGGGTGAACAGTGACAGAGGTAAGCTCGACAGACTCTACGTCTTCTTCGTCCCTGTAACAACCGCAATGATTATTGGTTGGAAATGTGTACCATCCTCCAACCGTAAAGTCCAAGTTATATGTCCGTTTTTGAATTAATGGTGAAATGGTCTGGGTGGATTAGATCCCTTGATCTAGTCTAGTCACGTTGCATGTTTCGTCGCCAGCTTTAGTCTGAGTTTTCGCTGTAAACAAGGGTGCGCCCGCGACATGCGTAGAATTGATTGTAGTTAGAGCAGTACCTACTCTCGCCAGCTCATCCGCTGCGCTATCTATATGTCCTGGTACCCAGCTCATTGCTGTATTTCATCAAGCTGAGAGCTTGTAATGTAATTACATTCAAGACATCTGTTGGAAGCTTGGCTATCCAAGTATATACTGATTGATTGGTTTGTAACCAGAGATTCCAGCTTCCGTGATTGGAATCTTGGAAGATGCTGACCTGACTACTTGTAGCCTCAAATTCAAATTTGTTTAAAGCGTTGGTGGGCGAATTCCACAGCCTACCTTTGTGGAAAAGAGATTGTCCAAACAGTATATGTAGATAGCATAGCATAGCTCCGCTGGAAACTACGCGGAAAACACATTCGGGCGTACCCTTTTGGACAGTACCTCCAAGGTCGAGCCACGTTCAATCTGGTAACAATGCAGCACGCTTGAGTATGCCTTACAAATCCTGGGCTTTTGATGAACTAGACAGTACAGTTTCAGTAATGAGCACAGCTGCCGATCGCTGAACTCTAACCAGTCTGCTCCTGAAAGTAGTTATTTCGTGTGGCCACCAGACAGTGACCCCATAAATCCAGTAAACAGTAAACGGTTTTAGCCTCCACTTTTTGCCAATGGCCGCTCTGCATGCGGTTGTGCTGTGAAAGCTTTTTCCGACCTTACCTTCGTCTTTCGAGCTTGATATCTAAGGCTATCCCGAGTTGTACGACTTTGGTGGAAAGAGTGATATCCATGTGTTTTAGCTTGGGTGTTTTAAAAGAAAGTCGATTCACATCCAGCAAATATACTTTGCACCAACTTTCTATTATGTTAAGGGCATTTCGGAGTAAATCGTTTAAGATTTGCCGGTGCTCGCCTGTCACTGTTAGGGCAATATCGTCGGTGTGGGCTACCAATTCACAAACTGTGCTATCTAGTGTGTTCATCGTGAGGCACCATAGTTACGGAGACTAAGATTCCACCTTGAGAGACACTTCTTTAGGGAATTAAAATTTTTTATATAATCGAAGCAATCATCTTCGGTTCCATTGAAATCGTAGATGTTGCCAATTTCATGTGCAGAATTTATTGCATCAAAATCCACTACTAACTGGTTGGTTATGCATTTTATGATAATTGAATGTTTTTTTTTAATTTATTAATTTTTTACATGAGTTGTGACTAATGCCATCTTAATTCTCTTTCTTTACAGACTATGCTGAATTTTCATTTTTGGGTCTATTTATGTCGGAGATGTTCATCAAAATGTACGCACTCGGACCTCGTACATACTTCGAATCGTCGTTTAATCGTTTCGATTGTGTCGTCATTAGTGGTTCGATATTCGAAGTGATATGGTCTGCGGTGAAAGGTGGCTCATTCGGTTTATCCGTATTGCGAGCACTACGTTTACTGCGAATTTTCAAAGTGACCAAATATTGGTCGTCTTTGCGAAATCTTGTGATTTCGTTGTTGAACTCGATGAGATCCATTATTTCCTTACTGTTCCTGCTCTTCTTGTTCATTCTTATATTTGCGCTATTAGGCATGCAATTGTTTGGCGGGCAATTTAGTTTTAAAAGCGGTACCCCCGAAACGAATTTCAACACATTCCCCATAGCCTTACTAACAGTGTTTCAAATTTTAACTGGTGAAGATTGGAACGAAGTTATGTATCAGGGTATTAAATCGCAAGGTGGCTATAAGAAAGGAATGATTTATTCCGTGTAAGTTTAACCAAAATATAAATGAAAAATTAATTATAATCGTGCCCATACAAAGTTACTTTTACGTGAATTATTCTATTTTCTGGTATTTACATATTCATAAATCGTCGCAGTCTTCTAGATGTCTTAACATAGTTAGTCCCACAACTTTTAACAAAAATTTTGTAAAATAATGACAAAAAGTATTCCTCCCTACAGATATGTCTACTTGTATATATTAATGTCTTAATATTTACTAATATTTCTTCCTAACCAATCTAATATTCAATGTCTATCTACATAATTTGCAGTGCAAACCAGGTTTTAATATTTATTTAGCCAGAAATGTGTAAAATTCTTTCGAAAAGTCAATTTTCTTTCATTTATTATTGATCGAATGAATGAACTTCGATCTTTAGGGGAAAATACTTTCTTAGCCATAACTCATCAGAATTTATATTCGAAATTAGCTAGCACTACCCTCTATACATATTTATACATACATATATATCCAAGTATTCACTAATACTTCATTGCATTACTACTAATTCTTAATAGTTTGTAAGGAAGTGTTAGTCAATACGCATGAAAGAAATGTTTATCAATACGGTGGGATATCGAGCTTTCAAAATTATTATTGCTTTGCCATACGAAATGTAGTGATTATTAAAAGAAAAAATAGAGATCGTTTAATAAGCTAAAATAATATACGAAAAATGCTCAGGTAAAGGATGTTGATACTTATGTATACTGTGTAAAACATTTTATCAGAGATTGTCGTACTCTACATATACATATACGTGTATAGTACATACCGGCGGTTATGACATCAGTACTCGTATATTCTGGGTTCATTACAGTATCCCAGTTGTAAATAGAACGTCGAACCATTAATGTGTGCAATCATTAAAAAATCATTGAAAAATCAATGAAAATCAAATCAGCAATATTCATTTATATTGCACTGAATTTTCGAAAGTTTGTACATCATTGAAAAATACCCAAGACAACAATGTATGTAGAAACTTTCTCGAAATTCAGGTTTTAAAACAATTTATGTTAAGAATATTAATTGTTCTTATGTTTTTTTTTTAAATAGTGTTAATTTTTTGGATGTTTTCTTAGTCTTTGTTTTATATAAGACATACTGACAGATGTTATGAGTTCCGAAAACTTATAACAGTGTCTAAAAAATATTTTCATAGTTGCTAAATATCATTTGAATTTTATTTGAACACCTATGTACATACAAATTTTTGTTTCAAAAGCTCGCAAATGGTGTTCTCATATATCAAACCACAGGTAGAAAATAAATAGTATTAAAAAGAATATGAATATATTATTCAACACTTCAAATTTTAACCCAAATTTATGGGTTAAAAAAGTAACACAGAAGCAAAGAATGTATTTGGCTTTTCATGCGTCTACCTTTTAACCAGTTTTGACAGAATTTTTTTCTCTAAGGTCAGGCAGATACTGGGCTAATTTAGTTTTAAATAAATTTTATAGTTAATTATTAAATAATTGAGAAAAGACTGGAAACAAAATTTGTTTTTATAATCATAAAAAAATAATCAATCAATTTAATATTTTTTACAAAGCTTTCAGCTTTGTTTCAAGCAAAAAATTTCGACTTTTTTGACTTTGGAGTATCAGCCTAAGTCTAATGCAACTTGTGGAATTTTTTCAATTATGTTCCTTTTTTTTTGTGGAGCTAAATGCTTATTTATACATAGCATTTTTAAGTGTTTTAAGATATATGAGCCCACTTTTACGAACTACTTATAATAAATAGAATATATGCCATTTTTTCTATCCCTATTTCAAATTGATATTTAATTATCCTTAAAAATTAAACTGAAAAAGCTTTGTAATTTATTTTCCAATTAAATGTTGCAACACAATTCAGCATTCAAACAATTGTTTCATAAACTAAGTCAGTTTATTCTTAAAGTATATCGAGCCCTGGCCACCAAAAGGTCGTAGCAACCATCATAGAGATTAACCGTACAAATTTCAAGGTTTCTGCGAAATAGAGTTAAAAATATTTGTACTGGTCTCTTGAAAAATTTGCCCTTTGTCGCTTACGACTTTTTGGCGTGAAGGGATCGATATAAGTGGATTAAAGCCAGAGATGCTCAACTAAAGAAACGATGCCATTTCGTTTGGTATATATGGAAAATAAACTTCCCAAAATGATTTAATTTCGTTTCGGCATCATGTTTTTTAAACAAAATGAAATTGTTATTGTTTAAACCACAAAAACTCATCGTTAACGTTTATTTTAAAATGGCTGCTTGCTATTGTATGATGTTAACAGCACACTGTAATTTTAGCGTTTAACAGTTTCTGTTAACGATTTAACATTAACGAGAGCTGTTCGTTTCGGGTGAAAACGAAGAAACATTATCTTGATAACTTCTTTAACGTTAATATTTCCAAACGTTTAAACATATGTATGTACATATGTACATATGATTTTCATGGTCTTATGAAATATAGATGTCCTACAACAGAATTGGTAAATGACATTCAGTTGTTTCTGATCTAGATTTGCCTTGATTTGGATTTTCCCAGCTAAGAAAAGATATAATTCAATTGGCTATAGTCGTGGGATAAGTGGTATTGCCTTAAAAATAATAATATTATTTACGACACAAAATATGAAAATAGTTATTGAATGAGACTTTGTGTAATGAAATAGCAATTTGTTTTAGTGCTGACATTTTTGATCTTAACCTGTTGAAATTATGAATTATTCTTCATAAAGAGAATTAGCTAATTATATTTATTATTTACATCTTATTACCATATTAAAAAAATGATTCGAAAGACAGTTCTGAAATCCGATCACTATTTATTTCATATTGATTTGTATTCTCAAAAAAGAATCAAAAACGTGTATGACTATTTTAACGAAATTAATAGATTTCAGCAAAAAGCAAATCCTATTCATATTTTCCAAGGCGAATATAACAAGCTGAAGTTACACCGGCAGCGAATTCAAGTTTTTTAACTCGTTGCACGTAGAGATGGTCAAAATATTTTTTTGTTTATAAAAAAAAATGTCTTTGCTTTTATTTTATTTGATTTTCTATTAGTAAAGGTGAAAATGTTGAGAATTTTGATTTTCCGATTGTGGAACAGTGGAAAAGAGGATTTAAGCATTTTCAAAAATTAATAGATTTTCGCTGAATTTCACAATCCCTACGCAGAAGTAAAAACGAAATAGAAAAATTATTTTATTCTTCAGTTGGCCTTTACTCTGAGTTGTTTGCAAAGAAGAGGTTACCACAGGCCGGTAGGAGCAGATGAAAATATCCAATTAAGTCGGCTGTTGCTGAATTCATCAGTTTTAATGCTTGATGCCACTATTGTACATAAATTCAATGAATAATCGCATTCGAATATTGATTCCAATAAATTGAATTCGATGGGATTTCCGGACACTATTACGCAATTCCAATCGTTATCAATTCCTATGCCAATAGAAATCGGATCTCAGAACAGTGCTGAATAATCGAGTACTTTTATTTAATCAAACACATTTACTCTGCACTCAAAATTTATAACTACATTTATTTATGTAAATTTAAAAAAAAAAGCAATATGAACTAATGACTTAATTAAGTTTTTGTTTTCCTAGATTTTTTGCCTTGGTTCTTTTTGCAAAAATTTGATGGCATGCAAAAAAAAAAAAAAAACAAATATCGTATATAACTATTTGTTTATATTTTTCAAATGTTCTAAGATTTCTATGTAAAAAGGCGTAAAATATAACATATATTACCTAAAGTGGTTGTTTAACAGGAGTTTTGGCGCGTCTAACGCTAACGAGCAAAGGAGAAGAATACCTATTATCATACATACATATCACCTCACGCCTCAGGTGGTATAGAAGTTAAGCTGTAATTAAGTATTTTATTTAGAAGCTTTTGTAGCTTTTACTCAATATACTTCGACCATAAATGTTTTATCGAATATAGTATGAACTCAGCTTAACTGCTATACCGTTATTAATCGTTTTTCGCCTTAGTATTAAATGCATACGTACACAAAGTATAAATATGAAATATTAACACTTCTTTTCTAAATATTTATATTTTAAGGTATTGTAATTTGCCTCACGATTCCCTACTTCTTTTCACACTCATACACAATTCTATTTTTTAAAAACTCGTTTAAAGCATATTTTATTTCACAATCAATTTAGTATTAATATCTAAATGTAAAACTACCAATCCTGTGTATGAATTTCTAAAACGGACGATGTTGGGCTTTATTATGTCGAGTATTTATGTATTTAAAAAAAGAACAGCACTTACTAAACTCAAGCGTGGTTGAGAGGGACGAAATAAATTTACGACTCTCAAAACTGAGCTATGAAATCATTGTGGTATCATTTTGAGGCTAATTAAATTAACTTTCAAGGAAAATTGTCAAGTAGATGTAAATATTTTAAAAACGCTACATAAAACTAGGTTTTTTCCATCAATGTTTCTCCTCCGTCCAAGTTGTTAGTAACTAGTAAAACACAAGAAAGCCTTTCACCTCATGCTTCGAAGGAATGTTGAAGATCCTTCTCATAACTACTTTAACAAGTATGGATTGATTTTTTTGCTCATCCTAGAGCATACCAGGATACCAGAGCACGCTAGAAATCAAGACAATCACTTCTTCTAGCTCAGTTCTCATTCAGTATAATAACTGGCTTAATAACAGCTGAAAGAACTGGAAGGAGTATCGGTCTGCTACCGTCCGTCACTGCGTACTAAGCGATACCACTGTCACGAGTGACTCAACCTTTTGGTAATCAAATTTGAATTTTTTTTCATTTGTTTAACTTTACTTACATGCACACTCGTATACAAAAAAAAAAGTACAAATTTCTTTGCAAACTTTCATTTTTAGTAGATTTTTATATATAAATCGAACGGTTAAAATAGTTTTAGTTACCTTGAATGATACGACAAATAATCATTTCAACAGCTCTGCGCTGAGGAACGCTAAATATATCTGACCCCATTGACCCTGTTTCAGCTCAGTGTGCGGCGTGCAACATTATTACATTGTATTGTATAAATGTATTTTCTTTGAATCGCTCCAGATACTTTATCGTTTTGGTACTCTTCGGTAATTATACACTGTTAAATGTATTCTTGGCTATCGCTGTCGATAATTTGGCGAATGCACAAGAATTGACTGCTGCCGAAGAGGAGCAAGTCGAGGAAGATAAGGAAAAGCAATTGCAAGAACTCGAAAAGGAAATGGAGGCGCTGCAGGCGGATGGTGTTCATGTGGAGAACGGTGACGGCGCTACGTTGCCAAGCAAGGCGAAAAGTAAAAAGAAGGAAGAGGAGAAAAAAGAAGAAGAAGAAGTGACGGAGGGTCCAAAACCAATGTTGCCATATTCATCCATGTTTATACTATCACCGACGAACCCGTAATTACTTATTTCAGTTATATACGTATTTGATTGAATGTTTGCGTGCTTGTGTTTGTATGTAAAATAATGAAATTGAGAGAATGTTGTAATCAAAACAAGTAGACTATTTAGGGTAAATTTAATAACACTAGTATGAAACATGAAAAGTATAGTAAATACCATTAATAAAACACTGGAGTTTCATCACAAAACGCTTTAGATAAGCGAACACAAATTAAGGAAAAAATATTTAATAAAAAAAATGTATAATTTGAAAATTGTTCCGAAATACAAATGCTTTTTATTGATGAATTATCCAAATTCATTAACATAAAAAGTTAGTACTTAATAAAAGAAAAGTTGAATCCCAAAATGAAATAATGTGAAATGTGGTATTAATTACAGTGTTTTGCTATGGTATTCTTTATTCATAAATAATTTTATAAAAATATTTAATATAAGTATAATAATCCATATTTAATGCACTATTATATTATTCAAGTATTTTATTAATTATTTCGAAGTGTAATTATTTACATGACCTTAGTATATTATATGCTTTTCAAATGATCATTAAATGTGGTCGTGCCGAGGCCAACGGTAAAAACTTTTCTAGACATGCAAACATGTTTATATATATATACTATATATATGAATATCTAAACATAAAAATTACAATACTTTCAATGTAAGTTATACTAGTTTTCCAAACAGTTTGACAAGTTTAGATTTGTCCTTTAGTCCTTTAAGGGCAGATCTGCTTTCATATGGTAATATTACATGGTAGTCATTTTCTCAACAGATTATAGGATATATAAGATAATAAGTTGAAGTTAATATATTTGTATGTTATATTTAAAATGCTACTAATAACACACACTATGTATTTTAATTATAACTAAGGTACTATTGATATACATACATATAATAATATTTAAAAATACCTAAATGGCAAATATTAACATAAAAATTTTTTCTCTTACATCTTTTTTCTTTATACGTTTCGTTGTTTTACACAAATCTTATAATTTACATAATTTATATTACAAAATATCCAAATATGCATTACAATTACTTACATCACATCAACCAACATCAATCATCCAACAAACCAAACTACTCCACCTCACCCGCAAATGCAACGCACCGCAATAATTACAAATAAATTCAAAAATGAACTGCAAATTCGAAAAACTGCACAAATTGCGTCTAAAAATAATAATAATAAAAAAAATGTGGATTCAACAAAATTATGGAAAACCAAAATTTACTCTTCTCTATCAAAAAAAAAAAAAAAAAAAAAACAAAAAACAACCGCCTAATCTAAATTTATACCGAAACAAAAAATTTATATATTGCCATATATGCGCGCATATGGAAAATGGATATATATATATATATATATTTGGGAAAATCTGAAAATTGCGCCAATCAGTATACGCCGCGGCGCTCATTGGGTTGTTAATTTGCGATATTTTGATTTTTTCATAATGATCGTCATCTCATTGTCATCGATAGCGTTAGCAGCCGAAGATCCTGTTCGTGAGCATTCCCCACGAAATGAAATATTAAATTATTTCGATTATGCATTTACCGGCGTATTCACAATAGAAATGTTATTAAAAATTGTAGATTTAGGCGTAATATTACATCCAGGCAGCTATTTAAGAGAATTCTGGAATATTATGGATGCTGTGGTCGTTGTATGCGCTGCTGTTAGTTTCGGTTTCGATATGAGCGGTAGCAGCGCTGGACAAAATTTATCAACCATCAAATCATTGCGCGTCCTACGCGTCCTACGACCATTAAAGACCATCAAACGTGTACCAAAATTGAAAGCCGTCTTCGACTGTGTAGTGAATTCATTGAAAAATGTTGTTAACATTCTAATCGTGTACATATTATTTCAATTTATATTTTCCGTAATTGGTGTTCAATTGTTCAATGGGAAATTTTTTCATTGTACGGACGAAAGTAAACATACTTCCGAAGAGTGCCAGTAAGTAAAACAAAACTGAACTTTTAACTTGTCTACGTTTTCGTTTACGTTTAATTTTTATTTTCATTTAATTTCATTTTCAGTTCGTTAATAATAACTTATTCGCATAGATTACTTATAAAAATAAAAAAAAAACAATATTTTTAGTTTATTTACACTATGTAACCACAAAGAGATTTAATAAAGGTTTCAACCTCTGGTAAGACTCTGCTCATTGTTGTTGAATTCGTTGACTTTCATCCATTATAACGGGAAAAAGTGTGGAGAATTTGTAAAAAATTTGAATTTTAAATATAATTTTGACAAGTCTTACCAGTTAAATCTTGCAGTGGACACATAGTATTACACACACAAACATGCATAATTTTTCAATTTGTGTGTTTCAAAAAGTTACCGCTATTTACATTTGATTTCAGTTTATACATATTTAAGCTTAATATTTGTTTTTACACTCTCGTAGTTGCAGTTTACATATAATGTGCGTAAAGTGTTTTTAATGTTTCTGCATAATTATATTAGCAACATTGATACATTTCATATTCTGTATAAATAGTACTGACAAATAAATGTTCTGCATTCCTATTTCAACGATGAAAAGTAAATATGTACTTGTATATGTGTAATAGATATAAATTCACACATTTCAACTTTCTCTATTCATCTTCTATTTTTCTTCTGTCTACCAATGAAGTATATACGTGTACATATGTATATAAATAATATGTATGAATTTACATATTTATACCTTTCTTGAGCATGAAATGGTTAAAACTTGATTCCTAAAGCCTCAAGTAGGAAATAGATAAAACAAATACAATGTAATCATATATATATATATATTTAGTAAAAGGGTAGCACACAAAAATGTATACCTAAATAATTTAGTCATGTCCGTTTGTCCGTTTGTCCGTTTGACAACTCAGACAACAATAAAATTTTAATAAACTAAAGCATACAGCGCACATGCGTCTAAAGTTAAATTACTTAGCTTCAGTTCATGAAAGGTATAATAGACTTCATGCTTTCTTTCAACTTAAAGCTAACCGAAAACAATCCTATCACAAAGGCTCTTTTGTATGCCGACTTTTCACAATACATACTCCCACAATATACATATGTATATTGTACATACATATGAGTACATCTGACATCTTTATATTTTACCCTAGAAAACTCTATATCTACCTGTATTAATGTTTTGTGATAGAGTGTAATGAATTTAGTTTTCAACAACTATTGTACTATTTTCAAATATTGTTTCGTTGATACCTGTATCCAATGTTATATACTCGTATATTTAAACCCATTTAGTGAGTTTGGCTATTACAAATTTGGTTAAAATTAATATATGTATCTTGTAGCACTCACCAAAACATGATTCAATCTTCCTATGCCAATGTGAAACAAACTACAATTGAATTAAACTAAAATTTCCATTTTTTTACTCAGTCCGCCGATAGAAATCTATACGCAACATTAAGATTGCTGAGAACAGATTTGGGCAGGCGTCAATAACGGCTATAAGACAGTTTATAAATTCAGTAATAATACAATTTAAGAGAAAACAAATATATAAATAACAAATAAAATTATCCATACTGCGCATAGAAAGGGTAGGTCTTCAATTAGCCACCAGCTTGTGAACATAAAATACATAACAAACGTATCAGGAGAGGAAACACAATGTAAACCTTATGATTAATTCGTCTAATTACACTGGCCTGCAAGGAATTTCTCCTTGAGATAGGAGGTGCTCAACCAGTGGCACAGCAAAAAAGGCGATTTTTGGAAAAACTTTTTTAGAAAAAAATTTCTCAATTAAAAGGTTAACGGTATCAAGGGTATAAATAAGTTGTCCTTATATATTTTTTCCCAAAGGAAATGCCGCAGAGGTCTGAATACAACAAATTTCCATTTTGTTGTCATCCTATCTGCCTTCAAGGTACCCAAAATGAGAAAAAGCAAAAAAGGCATTAAAGAGGCCTGCACGTACTAGGTACAAAATGAAATCCAGAAAAATTGTGTCGCACTGAGAAAAAAAGTTAGAATTTCGCTAAAAAAATATGACTGTATTTTTTTGTGCCTGAAATAATGCTCTAATGCGCTAATGTGTCAACAAAAAATTCCAAGGCGAACGGTTGATTCATTTTTTACATTCAATGAGAGCAAGTTTCGAGAAAAACGCGTTCTACAAAAAAATACAGTTAAACATTCATGACTAACCTCACGCTATTTAGGACTGTTTTCGAAACTTTTACAGTTACGCATCGGAGGACGAGGTATGTTTTTTCCGTCGGTATAAGCTAACGAGAAATGTAAAAAAAAATCGATTTTTTGAAAGTGTCACACCGGTTGAGCCTCTTAAAACAGTTAAAAGCATTGCGGTGTTGAATCTTTTCGCATTGTGTCTTGTACAGTAATCTTCTGCCTACAATAATACATCAACACGAGAGTGTATGAGAACCTGTAACCTCAAGAACTATCATACTTAATGGATTTCATGAAGAAATAATACCGCAATTAAAGTAAGAATTGGTGACACAATTCACTATTACTAACATTCCACATAATGGACTTTGGGAGGCCGCAATAGCCGAGCAATGACTTTCTGAAGGCCAGGGTTTGAGTCGCAGTTCGACTAACATCCAAAATTACCGAAAACAAATTTTTTAGTTGAGTGTATTTCTGTCATGAAATAAAAGCCCCTCGTAAGGATTCATCGCTTAATATAAACCCTCCGTTTGAAGAACTCGATCGGAAATCGTTTCAGCGGCTACAAAACGCCTTATAGCGTTAACCAAATCAGCTTCAGATTGAGCCTACAAATTGAGCGCTAATTTTTATATATGTACCTATCTAAAGTTAGCTCCACACATATGTACATATGTGTTTTGAAAGCTGCAACAAGATATTATTTTATTGGGAATGGTAACGTAGACAAAATCTGTTTTTTTTTTTCATTTTGTGTAGACCACTATATTGAGGAAAATCCATTCGTTCAATAAGAGTTAAAATTTCCCAATATTGAAGTGTATTAAGGAATGAGAGAAAACTTTAAGGAAAATATGCTGTACTATATTTTCTTTTCTTTGTTTTCCCTACATTTTCTTATATTACTACCAATGATTTTTACATAACTTTTACCACGTGCACAGATTAAACAGAATGTAAGAGTAGCATTTTAAAGTTTCCCGCCTTGTTTGCTTGTTTGATTCTATGCCCTCACAGTGGAGCATAGCAAATCACAGAAACAAACAAGAGCCATTTAAATGAAAAACATAAAGTATTAAAGGAATTTTTTTTTTTCTTCATAATGCAAAGAAATGAGCCACTGTAAACGGCATACACGAGAATCCAATTAACAAAAAATTAAAAAAAAAAAAAACAGAAAGTAATACGAAGATTGCGTCATAAAAAATATTTATTAAATCCATCTTAGTTGCTTAGAGTTTTAGTTATTTCCGAGCGTGTAACTCCTAATATTGTAATTATTTTTTATGTTTAGTTTAATGAAAATTAATTAATTAAATGCAAATACAACATTAGTAGAGCTCGTAAAAGAAGAGAGAAAATGCGTCAGAAAATTGTGTATTGATTGAATTGGCGATCTCAACATTTAACCAAAGAGTCCATATTACTGCCAGAAGATTTCTTAATAAGCTTATATATTTCGCACGCGCTTGACAAAAGTTCACAGCTAAACAAAATGTTATTCACTCTCGAACACACGAACATTTTCAGATATGAACACATTTTTCATAACAAATATACAAAAACAACATTAGCAACACACCAACGGTTTTTTTTTCTTGAGAACTTGAATTAATAGAATTAGTCAGACAAAAAAAAAGATGAATAATTAAAAGAATAAAAAAGTGAACAGAAAAGAGATGAGCACCGAACCGGAAATGGAGCTTCTAGGAAAGGGTATTAAACTTTAGTTTAGTTTAATTTAACACTCTTATGTTTTGTCTTGTATGAGCATACAGTATTTTATGTTTAACTTGTACATAACGAAAAACGTATGTGCATATGTACATATTTCCGTATTTTTGTGTACTTCCAACTGGTTGATTTTTAAAGTTCGAATTTGTGTATATATGCCGCACTCAAATTTAAAACATAAAGGATTTCCGTATCTTATTGTTTTAACTGTTTTCCTTCGTGTGCAATGATCTGGGAAGAGAAAAGTATATTTTTACAATTATACGTGTCCACACATGTAGTACGAATAGCTTAACAGTGATGAAACTCTATGATTGCAAAAGCTATTTATGAAAAATATACGTTTCTCGAAAACTCTACGAAATCCTTAAAACAGTATATTTGTAATAAAGAAAATTATTATTATTTTGTATAAATTGTAAATATTATCTATATATTTGTTTAAAGTGAGATAGAAATTTACGTTATCAATTTTGTAATTTTATCCGTGTGTTAAACTATGTTACATATTAACTAGTTAGAAAGATAGCAGAGAGAAGATGAAATTTAAAAAAATCCAACGAATAACTCTACCGCCTGAACCACATCGCACGGGCGTAGGTTTGATGGGTGATAGGTTAGGTGTCAATCTGCGCCGAACTCAAAGATATAATACGATTTTTTTTTTCAATAGATTTTCTGCTCTAAGGCAAAAAAAAAACATTCAATCAAATAAATATGAAATTAATTCTTTTTTTATAGTTCATTAAACTTGAATACTTAACAAGCTTTTATGAGCTCAATTCTATTGTCAAAGGTATAAATTTTGTACAGTTAATATCCAAAAAATGTTCGATAAAATCACACCTTACATGATAACTGCGTGTCAAATGCCCCGAAAATTAGTATCAGAAAAGTTAAATTAGCAACATCAGCAGAATTAAAGCTATTGGAATTTCCATTACCTTAATTCATACAATCAGCCAACTACTTTTGAGGCTTTCTTTAAAGTGAAAAGTGCCAATGAACATGATCTTTCATGTAGAATTGTTCTTTATAAGTATAAAAATGCCGAAAATGTTGATATATTTAGCTAGGTTTAGTATTGTGAAAGCGTCTAAGGTTTTCGAATGAACTCAATTTAATCCTTATGTAGAAGTATATAATGATAAACGATTGCTATATAATTTAGCAACAATTTAGTTAAAGACATTTTCTCTTTAAAATATCTTTACTTGAATTAACTAAAAGTCTCTTGAAAAAGATATTGTCTCTTGTATACCTTTTTAGATAGTTTTGATCCCGGTAGCTTTTTAAATCTACTTTCGAAGTATTTTCTACTTTTTCTGTGTTGTTAGTATCAATTTTGTAACATTTGCTATTTCTTTACGCCTAAATGAATTTACCTTCATCTCTAAAAAACGACACGGTCTGCACAATTCGATCATATGTAATACATATATACACAGTATATTGCAAAAACGAACTCGCATATACAAAAAAAAAAGGAAAAAACCACACACACACAGCTTCTCAAAAATCCATAGCCATACATAAATACATCATTTTCCAATCCTTCTTTCACTATCGCTCTCACTTTCACTATCACTATCGCCTGTCGCCTTCCGCCATCAGTATCGCATTTGATGTTTCCTATTTTTAGTAATACACTTTAATCATTTTGATTTTTTACGTATTAGTTTTTTATATTTGAATAATTTTTATTGATGGAAATTTAGAGAAAAATATAGAATATACATACAAACTTTTTCAACCCAATCGTCAATTCCAATAATAAAAAAAAAAAAAAAAAAAAAAAATTAAACAATCAAGGGGTTACTATTTTAAATATGAAGAGGATGAGTTACTTCCAAAGCAGGAGGAACGCATTTGGCGGCCGAGAAGTTTCCACTACGACAATGTAGCCGCGGCAATGTTGACGCTCTTCGCAGTGCAAACAGGAGAAGGATGGCCACAGTAAGGAAACATATTGAAATTAAATAAATTTTTGTAATATAAAAAAATATATATATATATATATATATATATATAATTATATATGTGAGTTTCATAAGTAAATATGTTTAAATAATATTTTAGAAAATAATTTTATAATAATTTTTCCATTTACCTTAACGTACTTTTTAAAATATTCTGGCATTTATCTCATCCGGATCATCCAAAACAAAAAGTTTCGATCTTGCTTAGAAAACAAGCAAAAAAATTGTCAACTTAAAATTTTTGGTTCAACTTGATAAATTAATGCTCGAAAATCGATAGTATTGAGAAATGTTTATTGTTATGTATGAAAATCGAAACCATAAAATACAAACAATTTTTGGAAGGTTCAAATGGTTTGAGATGAATGCCCATTATACCATACCATATTTTGTAAGCATTATAACGATATTGAAAATTAAAATCAATTGATTGATTCACTAAATATTCAAAATTTGATAGAGTTCTTCAACACTCAATGGCTGCTACGTATGAAGATAGGGGTCCTATACAAAATTTCCGGATCGAAATGTCCATATTTTATATTGTGTATTTCATTGTATTTCCATTCTTCTTCGTGAATATATTCGTGGCCTTGATTATCATAACTTTTCAAGAGCAAGGCGAAGCTGAATTGCAAGATGGTGAAATTGATAAAAATCAGGTGAGCCGCTTTAACTAATTTTATTAAACAAATTCGTTCCATGTACATATAAGTGTGTGTAAACGCAGTATGCCCACAATTGCTTCAATTTATGTACAATTTAGATAGTAGTGTTAATTTTTGTTAAATAGTAAAACTATTGTTCTATATATGTGCATACCCACAAATAAAGTTCCCAAAAATTAACACACCCAACTGACTAAATTCTTCTGTGTACTTTCGCTTATCCCTGTTACACTAATTACGCTATAAATCGAAACTATAAACTGTGAACATTACATCGTGATAGAATAGTTTCCACATAAAACCGTTAAAATATATAAATTAGAATCATAAGAAGAAGTAGGTACATTATGGCTTTTGTACGTGTTCTTTGTCGCAATAATAAATAAAACATCTCAAAGGCGCCAATCTGCTTATGTCTGGCTGCAACTTGTTCATAGGAAATTTAAAATTTATCCTCCAAAACGCCGCACACAGATGCTGAACGGGCGACGCGTTTAAATTGGTTTCAGCAATGAAACCGAGGGTCTGGGGAAAAAAATTTCTATCAACTATTAAACCCATACCACGTATACTATATATGAATATTTCGGGTGAACCCAATAGCCGAGTCGTTAGCACTGCACACAGTCATTCCGAAGGCCAGTGTTCGAGTCCTGCTTCGACCAACATCCAGCTGTACACACTTATAGAATATTGTACCCGCTCTATTCAGCTCTGCAGCTCGTAATATTTTCTCAGCAATAACTTGAAGATGTTACACGATAAGGAATCTCTTTACCTGAAACTCGTTTGGCTTAGAGAGGAGTTCAGTTTACACAGCCCTTAAAGTTTAGCGGGAATACCGAAATCAGCCTGCTCCTTTTCGTGCTGTCGAAGGCTGCTTTAAAATCGACAAAGAGGTAGTTTGTGTCACGGGTGTTTTCCAAGATTTGACGTTCGGTAAAATCTGGTCAGTTCAAAGCCACAATGATAAGGGTCAATCTGACTCTTGTTGGTGGGCTTTAGTCTTTCTCACAATGGACCTGATATGCGATATTAAGCAGGCTTATCTCACGGTATTTGTAGCAGACTGTGGGTTCGCCCTTTTGTGGATTGGGTAGAGCACACATAAGTTCCACTGGTCGGGAACGCTTTCATCCGACTATATTTTGCAAAGAAGTTAATGCATGCACCTTATCACTCCTTCTCCGCCGTATTTGAATAGCTAGATAGTTAATTTCTCGGCCGCGCCGCTTCGTTGTTTTCAGACGGGGATTGCTTCGATAAATTCTTCATGGTTGGCAATAATACATTTGTGTCATTACCGTCGATTAGGGAATCGAGTTCACTGCTTCCGCTGGAAAAATGTTCACTCCATAAATGCAGTCTACTGAGACCTTCTGTAAGTCACAACATCTTTTCGGAGAATTAAGTATTACCATTGTTGGAGCTTCTCAAGCTCGTCATAAGCACATGTTGTGGTAGATCGCAAGATTGCGAGGTAGCAAATTTTTCTCTGCACTGCAAAACCTATTGTTTTGATTGCAGCTGTAAGTAGGGAGCTCGAAATGCCATATCCCACAGTTCCCTTATACCGAGTTGCGTATGAGTGCTTCCAGAGAGTAGGGATACAAGCCGAGGGGAAAACTGTTCTGCTGTCTGCTGTGATTGCAGCTTTTTGACGTCGTTTTCTTTTGTTTTTTAAAAGGCCTTTTGTGCCGCACAGAGACCAGCGCGTAGCTTTGCTGGTACGAGTCGATATTTGGCCCAAGGAGTGAACGCAGATTAAGAGCACTGGATACATGGCTTCAGGGGACAGCCAAGTCGATCGATGAATTTTCTCGTACTGGAATGTAGTAAGTACGAGTAGGACTAACAACCCGTTTGGGGATGTTTCGTTGTGGAGATCAAAATTTCCGACAGTTGTGCCGAAGATCGCCTCTTTGCCAACCCAGTCGTTAAAGTCACCAAGCACGCTTTTAGGCGATGGCAACGCTCGGGAGTACATTCCAGGCGCTTCTAACAGGTACCATTGGTCAAAACATAGTTTTCTTCCATCGGAGTGTGGGTGCAAATCAGCGACATGTTAAACAATTTCACTTTAATGCGGATTGTGGCGAGACCTTCAGGCAATTAGTGACAGAGTTTCTCTTCCGACATGAATCCGACAACGAATTTGCGATCCTTTGTATGGTCGCTGTAGTAAATGTCACAAGGACCTACACGTTTCACCCTTCCAGGGCGGCGCTGATATCAGCCAACCGAACTGTTAAGGCGTATCTCAAGCGTAGCGTTGTTATGGTAAGCTGGTTTCTACATGCCGGCTCCCTAACCTAATGCATGAACACGATAGGCGAGAAAGTTTAAACTTTTTACACTTTCATATCGCGAACCGCTTGCTTCTGGTGATCAGACGCTGCAATTAGACCTTCGTCAGAACTTATTTGTTTGTACTAAGTTACATTGTATTAAGCTCTAGATGGAGCATACAACGTGAATAAGACACCAAGGCTGAAACTATGCACTCTTTTTGATTTTGGTGATGACAGTACAATATTTAAATAAAACAACTAAATATGTACAAAAGCAAAAATGGCTGAAACTTCAAAATTTTATTAGAATAGATTAATTTGAGTGAAACAATTAGTTAATATTTATTAGGGTCCGTCAGTTACTAAGTGGTTTTTATTGTGCAACACTCTAAATTTAAATTTAAAACATAAAAGTTCTCTTTCGTCGTTATGTTAAGTTAAAACAAGTTTATCTGCTTTTGTTCTCCAAATTTTCGGTAACAACATTTTCATCTAAAGGAAATTTGGAAACTATGTAATTTCGAAGAAAAACTAGTTTTCTCGAGAGTTCAGATCAACATACGCATTGTTGCAAATTAAAGACTATTTATAGAAATTAATAAATACCAAATAATAAATTTAATTTAAAAATAGTAATGTCTATCGTTTTTTCCGAACATAGTACAAGTGTATTGATTGTTTGAGAAATATTAAGTTTTCAATTTGAGTAGAAAATCCTTTCATAGCAAAAAAATAAAAATATAAAGGTTACTAATAATATATAAACCATCTTGATAAGTGCGGATACTCGCTTCTTTTCCCGGTCTTTTGCGATATCTCAAACCCGCCAGACTTTTTACGACTTAAAAATTATAGGCTCGCTTATTACTATTATTTATTTATTTTTTTTTTTTGAGACTCTTCTTTATGTTTCGACGTCTACTAATGAATAGATATAAATGTTGAGCATTTACCGGAAATTAGAATTTAAATGTAAAAGTACTGCTAGCTAAGCTTTTAAAACATGTTGATTTAAAAGCTTCCGCGAGCTCTCTATCATGGTTTGTATACATGCTTATTTACAAATACTATACTCTTACATCTTTTAAAAATAGTAATTCGTAAACTGTTTATTCTTACACCGAAATATTGGATGACCAGAATTCAATACAAATATGTGTATAGAAATAAATATAAAAATTTGAAGCAAAAATCACATCAAATTTTCTAAAATTAGCTCTGAATATGGAAGTTCAATAACCAGAGATCTGTAAATTTTTTGTACTCTGCAATCACTTCCAATGACATATTCTAACAAATTCAAGCTAAATCTAATAGAATTCAAGTCATGGAATTTTTCAAGCGAATGTTTTTTGCTTTTGTTTTCAGTTACATCTGCTTCAATCAAAAAAAAAAAAAAAAAAAAAAAATGCTAACAGATTTATTTTTACAAAGTCTGTAACCTCTAATTTCTGATCGATTCAATGTACATACTCGTATACATATATTTCTTTGATTCTGGTCCATAAATTAATTTCATGTATCGTAGCTGCACACATCCTTTCAAGTCTCCCTGAATTGGTACAAAATTTATTTAGTTTTGAAAAACGTCAATTATGTTAGTACGATCCAAGCTTTGAAAACAAAATTATACATACATGTTTATATGTAAGCGTTTTTTTAGCTAACTTCAGAAATACAAGTTAAATGGAAGCTTTTTAATAAAAAAATGGATATTTAATTATTAATACATTATTTATCTCCAACTTTTGGAACGCAGTTGTATTTATATATCTAACAATGACAATTCTTTGGAAACTCTATCATAGAGTCGCGTAATCTGGCTCTGACAAATGATTTGTAATATACTAAAAAACATTTGAATTTTGAAATTCGTTCAAGTAACTCAACTCCCCTCATCGTTCTGATTACGTCGGTGTAAATTTTTTCTTCTTCACCTTTTGGTACTTACATAACTCCTACCAAAGTTATTAGACCATTTAATAATCAGGAAAGAATTTATAAAATTTTACTTAAAAAGAACGTATCGAATATCGAATCGAATCGTACATACATATGTTGCTGCTTTAATATTCAGACGAATATTTCAGACATCTGAATAAACCACACTGAAACTGTATAATATAAATTTTGGCAACTGCTCTAGTAATACTGCATGCTTGGAACAAATTAAGTCGTTTCCAAAAATAATATTACCAGAATCCGGTAATAAAGACCTAAAGGCAGCAATAAAAACAATTGTACCAATAACAGATCCAAAACTTGCTTCCAAAATACAGTTCGAAAGTTGATTTCACACAACTGCTAAAGGAATTTAGGAGAAAAAAGTCATCACAGATACAGAATTTTCCAATAAGAGGTGTTAATTTGATATTCTCAAACAAACTGCAGTTTTTGTGTTAAATGAGGAGATGTTTATTACAATTTAAAGAGAAAGATATGCCATTAATAATGGAGAGCAATATCAGCCAAATGGACACCACGGCTGAGCTTACAGGATCGTATCCTCTTTATGAAATTTTCCAACACAAAAACACATAGTGGCTGTTGTATGCCCTCAATAGTCTCACAAATTCCATCTTTGAGGTCTTCATCATTCAGGTGGTCTTAAAGAAAAAAGTCGCAAAGTGTTAAATCACAAGATCTCGGTGGCCAATTGCGACCACTTCTTCGTGAAATAACACGGTGTGGATACTTTTATCTTAAAACACTGATGGCTTTGTTGCTTGTGTAGGACTTAGAACCATCTCGTTCAAATTAAACGTTGTCCAGAACAATACCAACCAATTCCGATCACTTCTCGATAGTATAATCCATTCATCGTAACTGTTGCACCAGACTCATTTTCGAAAAAGTAGCGTCTAATGACCCCGCCGCAGCAAACAGTTACACGTTGAGGATGGAGAGGCTTTTCAGCAATAAATTTTGTGTTTTCCTAGCCGCAGCTTTGCTTATTGTCGCAGTCATCGAGGTGGAAAGGAGCTTCAACATCAATATGATTTTTTAAAGAAATTCCGGAAAACTTTCATGCATTTCGAGGGCCCAATCTGCATATACACGACGTTGTTGTACGTTCTTATGTTAACTAAACTTTAATAACGGTGTAATGACGTTTGTGGAATTCGCAATTCCAAGGAACGACTTAGAATTGACTAACTTTCAACACTTTGGGCTACAGCAGCAATATCCTAATTTGTTCTTGATGTTGTACTTCTCCCATCGCTCCATTTCTTCCACCGATTTCTGTATTGCGGTTCGACAAGGTGCATCAAGACGACCGAAAATTGTTCTAGCTTTGCAGACCCTCTCTGTCCAGTTTTTCACCATTTTTATGGTAAATTTTAATAATTTAATAGCAATTTTAAAATTAGCAACGCCAGTATGCTTTTACTTGCCAAATGTCAAAAAATTACAACTTTAAGACTGATATCTACAGCATTAGCAGGCTATTCGAAATAGCGCCTCTTATTGGAAAATCCTTTATAGTGCAAAAAATCGGTTGATCGCCTCAAGCGCAGCTCCTTTTAATGGATGCAGTGTCACAATTCCATGTACAGAAGTAGATCTAAATATTATACTATAAATTCTTGAATAAACTTTATTATTTAATTAGATAGTACTTATTGTACGATATTTTTATATTCTAATATTTATATTTTTTAATGCATACATACAAACATACTTGTTTTTGCGTATTAACCAAGGACGATAGATGCATGCTTTGGATTAAGTGCCAAGTTTTCAGGGCACATGGGGCGGGGCAGATTGGCAAAGCCTGATGTATTTCATTAGTTCTTTAGTTCATATTAGTGTGAATAACCATACTTTTTAACTTTCACTGTATTTAAGAAACAACCGCAAAGCATGTAATGTGGTTTTACAAATTAATATCTATGTTACACTGCAAATTCATTACTATATGCCTTCTAATATAAGTTTTTTAAATGCTTACAGAAATCCTGCATAGATTTCACGATAGGAGCACGTCCATTGGAACGGTATATGCCCAAAAATCGCAATACTTTTAAATACAAAGTGTGGCGCATTGTAGTTTCAACGCCTTTCGAGTATTTCATAATGATGCTAATTGTGTTCAATACGTTACTGCTTATGATGAAGGTAAGCGTACTCTATGTATATACATATTGTATCTGAATAATGTACGTGTAGGCTTCATTTTTATTTTTAAGTAAAAATTTTTGTATATCATCTACATATTATATTTAATTATTCATATGCAAATACAATATATAAACAACAAGAGTCGAGGGGCATATGTACACGTATTACTACGTTTATGCTTTTTTACTCGGATAGATTGAACTCGCTTTTAGCATGAGTTAAAGCATCTACTCGGGTAGATCATACACATTTTCTCTACATATGTAGAAGCGTTAACTCGGTAGAATAAACGCAGGTTCAGTTGAAATCAGCTAATTTGCATTTAAGGGGTTATTTAGGTCTTGAAAGCCAAATAATTTCTTTAAAAGATGCTAAATAAAGTATACAATTTATTTTATTTACATAGAAAAGTACAATATGTGGACAACATTTGATGAAAATTTAATTGAAAAATAGTATAAGATAAGGCAGTGGCAGTGTCGTGAAGTTGACCGTCCACAAGAAAGCGCTTTTGCGGTAGTCATTATAAATTTTTCAATTTTTATCTGCAATAAAAAATCCAAATTTTTTCTCAATGTAAGTGAATTTTCCTTGTCCCAGAATGAAGAAAAATTAAACAAAATAAAAATTGAATTGTTTGTTGCGCTTTTTACAAAAAAACGTAATTTTAAAGTTGAAATCAAAGATAAAATAAATTCTTCGTTCAGCGACTACAAAAACATGCTTTAATAAGTGTGGAAAATTTGAACTCCATCGCTTCAATAGTTGTTGAGAAATTTTGGTTTTAAGAAATACGCGTTTAAAGTTTTATCATCGGTCAAGAGATGACAAAGGCGGCGGGTTATAAAACTCACTAATTTCTACAGTTTCGTCTCGATTGGCTTGAAACTTGGGGACAATATTCCTGAAACTTTGTTCTTTTATACAAAAAATTATCAAAAAAAAATTTTTTTTGGAATTTTCAAGACCTTTGTAACCCCTTAAACGGATTGATACAGAGTTTCCGTGCTAACTTTTTGACAAAAATATAATTCTTCACATATAATTTTTCGCAAATTTAGCAAATTTCGGCTTGACAGCCCTGATATTAACTCCATTCTAAATAAAACTCGAGTAGAACATTTGGCGTTTATGCTTGTAGGCTTAACCCGAGTAGAATAAGGCTTCATAGAATTCATGGCTTCTCTTTTATTGGTGGAAACATTAGTAAAGAAAAGTATTTTCTTTATATTTTATTAGTATTTTATTAGTGCGCAAAAAATGTATGCAACTTCCTCGCAAGTTTTTCATTTGGTTTAAGTCAAAATTTACAATTTCTTTTGGCACAGCAAATTGTGAAATGTTTCCCCCCTGATCTTTCGTATGAAAAAAAGATACTGATTGGCTCACAGAATTAGGCTGTGTAAATTTTGATAGTCAGCAATGAAATTCTGATATTTTTCATGGTGATTACAAACGTCAGCACTTTAGGTAGCCCAAGGGGAGCCAAACATATTTTTAAATTTTTATTTAGTTTACTTCAAAATTTACAGTGTCTTTTGGCACAGCAAATTGTAAAATGTTATCTCCCCAATGTAAATTTTTCCCACCTCATCTCATCATAGGAAAAATGGCAAAACTATGTATGCCTTTCATACCTGTTTTCTAATATCAAATGATTAAATTTGTATGTATATTTAAAATAACTAATATTGTTTATAAAGTAAAAAAAAAACAAAATAGAAGGAAATGACAGTCACGCAAACGTTTCAAAAACAAATCTATTACTTTATTACATTGAGATAAGTGCAATAGATAGACTCAGAAAAACAAGATTTAAGGCTAGGTTCTTCCAAAAGCCTTAAATTATACATATGTAAGAAATTCAGTTAATATTACCAGAATATTGCTGTAAAATAAGTGCTATATCAGCAAGTTGAAAAGTGCCGTAGTTATGATTTGTAAATAATATCATCACTAATATATTTGCAAATATATAATATAATATATGGGTAAAATAAAAAGTTCGTTCGGTTATGGCGTTATTGTACATAGTACAATACTAGTGTTACGTGTCGCATCATGTCATGCCCTATACTGTAAGCGAACGTGTAGCATATTTGATTTAAATCGGACAAATGTACACAAAGTTATCATATTTTGAAAAATCAATAAAAAACCGAACGAACTTCTTACTTGTACTTGACCTATAAAATTATGTATATGCAAATATATTAGTGATGCTATTATTTGCTTGGGATTCTTCTCCTTTAATTTCTATTTTTTTTCATATGGGGATTTCGTGATTTGCAGTGGTGTACTTAAAACCCTCTACTTAAGATTCTGGCAGATATACTCGTATTTGTGCGTCTGTCAAAATGTTCAAAAAGTCACTTAAATTGAATTAACGCTTCTTGTTCAGTGCAAATGATGCGACAAATTAGTTTCACATTTCTATTTTGTAAAAAAAATTAAGTATTTAAATATTTTCGTTAACGGTTTTTTTCATAAAACGGATAATTTTTCAGTTCAATTGTATTTAAGTGGTTTGCTGTGTCCTATTTCGTCTTCTCATAACGTCAAAAAAAATCTAATTGCCCCCTCCAAGTTAATCTACAAAAAATGTCAGTGTTGAAAATAATGCTCTATGTTTATCTCTTAAATCTTCTAAAAGCAGATTTATAAGTAAAGAAGATCATTAAGGTTTTCACGGAGCAGAATTTTTTAATATAGAGTAACTTGGTATAAGCTAAAGTAACTAAATAAACGAGCCTAATAATAATAATATATCAGAAATTTATATTTATTTAAAATTAAACTTAATAACTCATAATAAAGAGAAAATGTATATATTATTTGTATAACTAAGTTTCAACATTACCTCCAAATCAATTAACAATTACTCACCGTTAAAATTTAAGTTCAATAACTAGTTTAATATATAAGTAATGAAAGTATATCAAATTATTGAGTGTTTCAGAGTGATTACTAAATATTTATTAATGCAATTACATATGTACAAGATTTGTGGATAAGCCTTGAGAATTCCCCGTGATAAATAAAACCGTACCTTTTTGTACAAATTTGTAAACCTTTAATATTTATCTATACTGATTACCATATAAAGGCATTCTGTTCTGCAAATTCCAAATAAAAATTTATGTTTTTTCTTCTATGTTCTGTAATTCGTTAAACTGTGGTTTAAATATGCTATTTATTTGCTGACACGCAAGTTCAATTGAGCTTTTTAGAAAACTTTTATATGGCTTTTTTTCCTCAGCGCAAATAATATTGTCTGTCTCGGTAACATTTTTAAATTAATTGTTGTTACAATCACAGGATCCTTATACAAAGTTTGTAGATAGCAGTTATACTTATTCTTCATCACATCCAAAATATCCAAAGCAAAGTCTGTTGGATTTCAACGTTGACATTATTATTGGTTTTAATGCTGGTATCTAGATATACGAAATTATCTATGACCTCGAATTTATAGTTGTCAACAGTGACGTGAAAGCCAGGCCGTAAATGCGCCGTCTGAATAAAGCAGAACTAACGGCGCGGTTGCTTAGGCCTATGATATCAATGTCATTGGCATACGTCAGCAGTTGTTCACTTTCGTAAAATATTTATTTATTTATACATTAGCTCATATACTATAGTTTTCTCCAGCCGAAACTTGAAAAAATCGAACGATAAAGAGTCAATCTGAATAAAACATCGCTTGTTATCGAACTGCTCGGATAGGTCCTTCCCATTTCTGTCTGTACCTTTGGTGTTGCTTAAGGTCAGTTTACATAGCCGTATAAGTTTTACCAGAATAAGAAATACAGACAAATACAGAGTCGTGGAGGCATCTTCTAACTTTGCTGTCGAAGGCAGCTCTAAAATCGAGGGAAAAATTATGAGCATCGCTTCTATTCTAGCAGGTGTTTACCAAGATTTGTCTCATATTGAATATCTGGTGACTGGTGGATTTACCAGGTCTGAAGCCACACAGTTTGTTGACGATGTGCTTTAGTCTATCACACAATACGCCCTTAGTACCTTATATGCAATATTTAACAGGCTAAACCCACATGCTTGATGCAAACTACAAAAAAAGTATAGGCGTATTCAAATATTACATATTACATACATCCAAATTGGTCGGACCTTCAGTATTTAATGATAATAGAGCACTTCAGTCTAGCTCCTCTTTAGACTGTTGAACAGAATTCATTTACGGTTATTGCACTGATAAACTGCGGGTTTCAACACATGAGAAATGAATTACAGAACTCATGCCTATTTATTTGAAATCTGTCAAGTCAAAAATAAAGAAAAAAAACTTTGCTCAGAAGAATTTTCAGAACTCGCCTATACAGTATATTAATTTTGTTTTTCCGCTCTTTTACTATTACTAAGTTTTCTGTAATCAATACTCACATTTATTTGTTATTTGTTTTAAATCATTATTATAAGAATGATTTCAATTTCCACTTGCATCGTACTAACAAAATTTCGTATTTCTACAGTACCACAACCAAGGTGAAATGTATGAGAAGTCATTAAAATATATCAACATGGGATTCACAGGAATGTTCAGCGTGGAGACCGTATTGAAAATCATTGGATTCGGTGTAAAGGTAGGTGCACTAATATTTGTATCAATAATATTTTTAATAATAATATAAAAGTATTATTGAATTTGCTGAAATTTACAATGTGAAGTGGCTACGATGCAAGTAAACTTATTGCTTTGTACGTCGATGTACATAGAATGTATGTATGTTTGTTTATATGTCATAATAAAAACGCGTGGACTGTACGAAACAGGTTAAGGAAAGATTATGCATCAATTTGCATCTGGAAGAAACTGCACGCTGAGCTCACGCGCTCAATTTCAGGTATCAAATATTCGGCTATCATGGCTTGATAACGATCGCCAGAGACAGTTATGTTCAACCGTGTTTTTTCTGGGTGAAATGATAACTTTTAAATCCCTTCAAGTACTCTGCTCTTCGACCCAAATGCGGCAATTTTGCTTGTTTGCATACCCATCGTCTAATGGCTGCATAAAAGGAAAACGTCGGATATTCTTGGAACTTTTCAAGAGCCCATAGAGCAAAAAGAGTGGTCGAGCGGCTTCAATTCTTGTACAAGCTGTACGTTTTCAATTTAAGATCTCGACGTAAAATGTGCCAAGTCGTTCCGTTGCTGCGAACGGCGCCGAACCGACTCTACACAGTCTTCGTGTACACTGTCAGCTATGACCGTAAAATTTTCTTCCCTACGTGCTGGACGTAATCTATTCGGTCGAACATTATCCAAAAATTTATGCTGGGTCTCAAGATGGGTGCTGATTTTGCAAATAATACACTTAGTTAGCCGATTATGTTGACCATAAGATGAGCGAAGCGTGGGAAACACACTATTTACAGAACTTGAATTTTCGTTTTCGTAATAAACAATAAATAATAATAAATAATAAATAATAAATAATAAATAATAAATAATGAATAATAAATAATAAATAATAAATAATAAATAATAAATACTTACAAGAATATAAATCAATAATAAAATCTTATTTACGCTTCTTATAAATGTAATTGGATAGTAAGCAGTCGAAGTAGTAGCAGCAGGAATGTTAACCCCTCCGAGTGTATTTTGAACATGAAATAAAAGCTTTTCCTAAAAATCCATCGACCGTTTGGAGGCGGCTCAAAATAAGCTGAAGGTCCGTCCATTTGTTGAAAAACATCAAGACGCAAAACTACACATTGAAAGAAAATCGCTTCAGCGATGTTTTTGAAAACGAATATCATGAAGATTTCTTTGCTTCGAGGAAACTGAGATCGGTAAAATGATCACTGGATTTCCATTTTTATATATTACTCCGTAAGGTGAACCCCTGTATGTTTATAAAAAATTTGACGTCGCATAGAAGAGCATAGAGAATTAATATAAATAATTTGTGTTGTTTTACATTTTTTTAAGTCTATTTCCTAAAATTTTTTGTCTCAATGGACAGTCAAGCTGGAAAGTGGTCTTAGGGCACTTGAATGGCGTCGAATACCTTTTAAAAGAAAACGTACATCTCGATAACTATTGATTGAAGTATCATATCGTTATGACTTTATACTTACGCTTTCCTATGACGTTTTCGATAATAATCGAGACTCGTTTCTAGAAGTAACTACACGTTTCACATATGGCATTCCAATTGAATCAGATTAAACTTTAAATATCGAACTACTGTTCGGAACAAACAAGCAAAAAACAGATATAAGCTGTTATAACCTATGAGCATAGATACAAATAATAAATATATCCCCTTATACTTTTATATTTTTCTATCTCTACTATTTTCTTTTCCCTCTTCCTCGTATAACCAATAATCATGTCGTTGAGAATATTTTTAGGAGTTTCATCATGCACTAGCAACTCTTACACCGGAATACAGTAAGCAGTATCTAGTATCAATTTGTTACTATTTGGAATTCACTAAGCAACACTGGGTCTTTTGGACAGAAAAATCAAATAAAATAATGGAAGGGAAACTAGCTGGTTTATTTACTGATTTTGCAAAAAATCGACTTATTTAAATGAAAAAGAAGCACAGTAAATAATGAAATAAACCAGTTTCTTATTAGGAGTATTCGCAGATAAGTCTTAACACTTTAACAGAAAAATCATCTTTCTTTTCTGCTTATTTTTCCATATTTTTTCTATTTACTGTAAATATAATCCTTATATAAATTAATTAATAGTTATCTACATTCCATATGACCAACATCAAGTGCTTTCAGCATATAGTTTAACTCTAATTGGGTACATTAGCATTTATTCATTGCTATTAAATCCCACAACACACTTATTATAGCTACATATTCAAGCGATTGTAGACCCCAAGTATTTGTGGTAACGCTCGTTGCAAACTTCACAATTTATACAAATCCGCACAACTCAGGATCTGTGATTTAGACGCTACCTAAAATAAAAAAAAGTAAAATAAAAAATTATTTTTCAAATAAAACAAGCATTATATAGTATAATTTCAACAATTACCTTTATAGCATCCAATAGAATGCCATCACCCTCATCATAAGATCTAAAAGCTCCGAACGATTTTCTGTGCTATAAGAATGTTTAAGTAAATTTTTAAATCTAATATGCCATTCAATGTTCTGTTTCGTTGAGCACATCGAGTAAGTTACTCCTATCTCTAAAACCAGTTTCGTCGTCTTCGGTCGCATTTGATTTGCTCCTTGCTGTTTCTATGTGCTTAATGAATATCTAAAAAATGTAAAAAAAAGAATTAATTTAAATAAATGAAATAAATACTAAATTACTTACTTGTATTTTTAACAGCGAAAATTCGAAGGTTTACGTTCATACATGAAGATGATACGACAGGTAATCGATTGATATATTTAGATTTGGAATTGTAAACTTTTTTAAACAAATGATTCAGGTAATACGCAAATTTAACACATTCGAAAACAAGGTCTTTGCTAATGTTTAGTATAATTAGTAGTTTTTTTATATTTTAATGAATGAATGAATTATGGCTATGAAAGCTGTTTAAGAAATTTTATCGCTTTTAATCGATAAACTAATTTTTGTTGAGTGCTTGTGCGCATCTCCAGCAAAGATGCTATCAGCTGATGGCTCGAATTTATTTTTCGCCTCATTTTTCAGGCGAATTTTCGTTTCTCCCGGTACTGAATTAAAATTGATACTATGGTCACAAAAATAGTATAAATCAATTTGTGAATTAGTGACTGTATCAAATTACTGAATGCCGCTGTTAGTGATATATTGACCGACATGAATCTAATATTCAAATTATTCTTCTGTTTGGATACTATATTAAAGGTAATGTCGTTTGGATGTAAGGTGGATACAAATGCCATTGAGTTTAATAGAAAAAATCATTGAAATGCATTTAAATTTAAGCGATGTTCATTAAAGGGTACAGATTTTCGTCACTTAAAATAAACACATTGTAAATTTCAGCTAAAAGTAGGATATATTACGTATTAATATGCCTGTTCTATTATGTATGCTAAAAATAATAGCGTCTAACTGTAATATTGTTCCTTTCACAGAACTTCTTCAAAGATCCATGGAATATATTTGATCTGATTACCGTTGTGGGTAGTATCGTGGATGCCCTTTGGATGGAGTTTGGGGTAATTAATAAATAATATTTTGTATATTATTCATTTTCTTTCGTTATTTGATGCATTTGCAAAGTAAAAAAAAATGATTTACTTATAAAGGAATTATTTTTAAAAGCGGATGCTCGATTACCAAGTTATTCATAATAAACTTTGATCCTAGTTAAGCCTACGTACAAAGTTTAACATACATATCTGTTACAATATAATAAATATACTCATGAATGGTTTCGTTCTGCTGTTAGGGTTATATAATTGTGACAAGAAAATTTCGTCATTCATTATAGGCTTTAAGTTGCTTTTGAGAAACTTCAATATTCCTATAATGTTATGTTGTTCACAAGCATTCGTTTTACCGAATTCAGCGTTAATAAAGTTAATGAAATAGAGGTTAAGGATTTTCAACCCATTTTTATTGTATATGTATGTTGTATAGTGCTTGCCAAGTTTTAAATACAATTGAAATATCAAATACTACAGTAATTTCTCAAAGTTGCAATGATGATTGTTGCTATATACATATATACATAAATGAGTTTAAAAGTAATTTGTCTAGTTAAAGGAATGTTTGCGTCTGCTGTAAACTAACATAGAGTTTTTCGGCGCGGAATAAATATTTCAAACGTTCAGAATGATTGAGTTTCATTCTTAGTAACATTATTACTTGAATGGGTTTATGAGAATACATATATTAAAGAAATTCAAATATAATTAACCAATAAACATATTATTGTAGATAAAATTGCATACAAAGAGGCGAGAACTCTTTCACATGAATATTTATATATTTTAATAGGAAATTAATAGTATAGCTCCTAAGTCATTATATAAATATATAATTCAACAAATTACTACGAATAATTCACAAAGAAATATAATAATCATATATTTTTAATTTCCTTTTTTCATACTTTATTTGTGTACCATCATACAAAAAAAAATGTAACCAAAAACGAAATGGGGTCTCATTCAAAACATACAAAATACCTAATAAAACACTGTTCGAAACCAATATATTACGATAACATATACTTACACTCCAAATAATTGTACGACGTTTCATAACAATATATATATATATATATATATATATATATATATATATACATATATATAAATCCTGAAAACATATTACACATATTTATTACTCTCAATCAAAACTTGTCCTTTCATCCGTGTAAACAAATATGTGTTATTCAACACTAAATTATACATAAATCTACTCAAAACTACTTGCTGTATTGTCAAATCTAAAATTTCTGCTGTCGTTTCAAAAATCTTTCTTATCAACCGAAATGTAAATCAAAAAAAAAAAAAAAAAAATTCGTTGAAAATTACCAACATTCGCAATCACAACAACATTCAAATATAAATCAATCAATCAATCAAAAAACCAAATCTGAACTCCTCTACAAATACTCATCTACAACAACTACTACTACTTAAATTACAACACCAGCACGATGTAAGTACAAATCACCTATTACACCTTGCAATACTGTTAATCATGAAATTCTTTTTGAACCTACATACCTATCAAATGTGTTCTTATTGTTGCCATATTTCCTTTGATAATTTTTTGATGATTCCGTTCACTTTTAGTTTCAATGATTTGTGTATTTGCATTATTTATGTATGTGTGAAATCTCTGCTTAACTGGCTTATGTAGTTAACTGTACCAATCCTGCGCTTAATAAATCTTTTACGGCAATTAAAACTGTAGATTAAATTACTAATTTTTTGGGATTCGTTCTCTTCAGATAAATATGGAAGGCTCAGTTCCTTATTGCTAGCCTAATCTGCTCCTTCCTAAATTCGTAGTTTACATAAACGTGGGATGAAGACGGCTATTTTAGGAGCTTTTTTAATATTTCTGTTAGATATTAGATGCTGCAGCTAAGGTCTATTAACACATTTCATAGAATTTTATGTTCAAGACACATGTGTCAATTTATTGAATCTGCTTAGCCGTGGAAAACCAAACAAAAATTATTAAAAGAACTGTGTTAAATAACCCATTAATTAGGAATGTGCCGCTGGTTTCAGCAACGCACGTTTTAATGTTCGAATCTCTTGAACCTTCAAGCATGTTCGACTCGCTGTGTTAGTCAAGTTGTTGGTCAAAGCGTTCCGATGGCTACGCCGTTTTGCTATCTACCTTTGTGTAAGGATTTCCACTTCTTCCCTGATTATGTGTATGGTCTTTATGGATGATTTCGTTACGCATGTACACATGCCATGGAGTTTTAACTTGGTTCTTTGCAAAAGGTCTATACTTGTCGCACAAAATGCGGCTCACATTTGCTATCTCTATATTTGTATCGGTTTTATAGTTGCATAAGCTGCTTAAAACTACTTATTTTTCCTCTTATTCAATGGCATTGGCACCACTTATGCGACTATAGCCGAATAAACTATATCCCGCCATACTAACATCCGTACGGACTATATGACCTAGCCGCTGTCTCTTCAAATCAATTTGAACAACTCAACCTTGATATTATAAGGTTCCTAATATTTATATATCAGTAGACAAGAGTTTCTTTATTAAAGATTAAGAGAGGTTTAAAAAGGATAATCCAATTCCAAATACGGTTTCTCTGATTAAACTATTAAAAAATATGCTTCTCAAAGATAATTCAACGCTACTCCTTAGCGTGTCAAGTATTCTGCCAACGATTTTACGTTCGCTGAACCTACTTTCATACAAAAGTTGCTATATTTTTGGGCGATATACCAATGTACATCATATAGGTAACCCTGGAAAACTACGTTCGCTTGAAACTGAATATGACATACTCAGCTGGTATTTATATTAAGTCAGCTAAGCCGCCTATGACTTTCATAGAAGAGCATAAAATCAGTTTTATGGCAAGTAGGTTTATTTGTGGCTAAATATTCCAACCTACACCCTATTGTTATATTTTTCAGCCAATGTAATAGTTCTCCCCAAATGTAACCTTTAATCATTTGCAAAATTATGCCGATTTTGTACATTTCAAAATTACTTTTAAAAAATGAGGTGGAAGTAAAATTTTCCGATTTCACCTATTTGCAAAAGTGTGACCCAAAAAATGTATGCGAACCAAGTTTGATAGAAATATCTCCAGCCTTAAGGAAGTTACAGACAGATGTGGCTAAATAGATTCGTCTCGTCACGTCATGGAGTTGGATATGCCCCTATCTATCTCAATTATTGTATGCAGTTACATATTACCGTTAGCCTGAATCTCTGTCCGCTGTACAGCCGAGTATATGTTATTTGGTGTTATTTGCAATTTTTGAAATTTCTGTTAAATACCTGACGCCTTATATGTTCAATTCTGCAGTTTCCGTTTACTAATTTTACTTTCCTGGCTTTCATTTCGATTTCACACTTTCCAATCATTTACTTACCTATTCTAGTAATTTACATATGTACTTTTGTATGCATATATTTCTTCGCCTTTAATTACAATTGCATCCATAACTTTCCATTACGAGTAAAATAGTCTATAATAATAAACATATATTACATATTTCATAAACATTTACTATACATACACAAAATCCATAAAATAATTGTTTATTAAATCTATGCTAGAATGTTTAAGTGTTAATTTTAATTGGTTTATAATGATTTATGGAATGCTTTTTTAGGCTATTGTCAAGGATTATCAACTTACATTCATATATACTTAATTAACTACCCGCCTAACTAAATACAATTCATGTTATATTTGAGAGTTTAATATAAAAAAAAAAATCCCTGCTAAAAATACATTTTCATGAAGACGTGCATATTTACTTTTTGGATATAAGATTTTATTTAAAAAATAAATATTCAATATCATGAGTTTTAAATGTAAATTTTAAGTAAGTAAGAAAATTATTTGATAAGTTTTATACGTTTTAAAATTACATTCATTTGTTTTTGTTATAATTTTATATTTTTTTCCTTGCAAATCACGCATTTCAACGTCTAAACTCACGAATATATCACTTATATAATACATACACTTCAAAACACCGTAATATTCGGAATCCACTGATTTTTTAAACAAAACGGCACATACTATCGATATCGACAAAAAATCATTTTTGGGATTTAATGCGAAATAATGTATTCACAAAAATAACTATCAATTGCTCTCTGGAAAACTAAATACAACAAATACATCATCACACACCACCAAATGCGAATGCCAATTGAAACGCTTTGAAAGCACATACATAAAATAATAATTTTATAAATTTCTCCCAATAAACATTGAAAAAAAATAATAAATTATTACACCACTAAACATTTGATTGTCGTCGCCGCTAATCAATGCCACAACATACATTGTCAATCACTCCACCACCACAACCACCAATACCACTGCTACTACATCTCCACCATCACACCCACCGAAACCACCATTTCCACACCCACCACCGCAACAACGAAAATGATAACCAAATATCACAGGCAACTGAAGCAACTGTAAGTAGTCGACAAAAGTATTGTCATGTCTTTTATTTATCAATCATTTGAATGAAAATAAATTGCAAACAAAAACAAAAAAAAAAATATAGAAAAAAAAACGTTTCTTAATTTTACATTCAAAATTGAAGGAAAGCAATAAAAGATTGCCTTTAGTGTTTATAATAATGCCTTAACTCTGTTTATCTCTGCATCAAACTTCTTCTTTCATTTTTAACTTCGCTGAATTTAATCTGATTGTCCATGAAATTTTAATAATTAGCTGATTGGTTTTCTTTTTACAAATGTGTATGAGAAACACGAAAGTAATTAAACGTTAAAAAAAAAAAATCTCGACAAAATTATACTAAAAATTAAAATATTACCATAATGAACTTATTTTCGCTTATAATATGTGTACTATAAATAGCGTTATTAATTAGTTACTTGCGATGGAATATTATATCCTCATACTTTTAAGAAACTTACAGAGAGTTTTGCTTTAATGAAGTCTCGTCTTTCGCTCATTCACCTCACTTTTAGTTTTGTTAATCACTTCTTTGCTGGGACCATATGTACATACATACACACTGCTGCATTCACTTTTGCCTATTATGCTCCTACATTTACCACCTAATGTTTCTGATAATTTGCCATTTATCAATTAATTATGTCCTCAGCAGCAAAATCACAAATCGCTTTCGCTAGAATTTTGTATGCAGAAAACTAATTTACTGCTTCCAGTAAAGGTCTCAATTAATCACCTTAAAAATCGCACACAAATTATCAGATATTAGCTAAGCTAGTAGCTTTACTTTCGTTAAATACTATATTTTTGGTGCACTTTCCAGTTAATGGTTTTCTTTCCTATTCTGTTTAAGTTCTAATAATTTTACGATATTATTTCTAAATTAGTATTTTTTTCAAACACCATAAGAACATTAAAATGTAGTTGATAATTAATTTATATATTAATATTAGAATTTTCACGTTACAAAATATAAATAAATACTCATACTGTTATGTAGTTCGTTCAGTTTAAGCTTCTTTCACAATTTATTGCAATTATCACACTACTCTACACCCAGTCTTTGATTCAAGACCCAAAAGCATGAAAAAAAAACATTCGGAAAATTCTGTGGAGAACGACTTGAATTAGAAGTCCGTCGTGTTAATAGAATCCTACTATTAAAGCATATCTTCATATATTTATGCGATGTACTCGTAGTAAGAAGGTATTATTCCACTTTCAGATGGTATGCGACTTTCTAAACTTTTTCGTCGTATTTGGAAATATATAAATTTTCTCGACACTTTAACCTAAACATTTACTAAAGAACATAAAGTTAGTTGTTGCTGGCATCCACTTTCATAATAGAGGCCACTTTAATTTTTATACGTCCTTTCCACGACATCCCAATTACGTTGTTGGCTCTCTCAATCGTAGTTCGCACTCTAAATACATGCCGAATAACTTAATTCGCGATACAAAATTAGGTGAATTATGCCAAATGTTGGTAATTCATTCTCAATTATCATGTGAATTATATCTTTTATAATATTTTTCGGAAATTTTTCGAAATGAAGCTGACAAATCAAAGTAAAAAGTTATGAAAACCCATAAAGAAAACACGAAAACACTACCTTTCATTTGAAACCAAACACTTTTTCAGCATTGAAAATTAAAAAATCGGAAATTATTAAAGATGTTGAAAACATAAGCATAGTGATATAATACAATTTTGAAGAATATGTAGATTTAATGATTTTTTTTATCGAATTCCATATGTTGACATTTACAGCACCAATTCAATTCTGTATTTAATAAACTTTTACTAATAACTTTCACTTTTTATTGCAAATGAAAGAAAAAATGGAATCAGAGAAACTGGGAATTGTTAATATGCGTGCTATATAAAGGAGGTACTTCGCGCTGATAATTGAGAGGACGAACAATGTAATGTATGTTGATGTGAAATTTAAAATTAATAAACAAATGTAAAGGAACTTTTCTCCCCTAA